ATAAAGTAGTAATCCAGGACCTTTAAAATTTTCTGAAATCGGAGCAATATTACGGCCTGATCTTGAACACTGAGAAGTGCGAACTTTGTTTTTTTTTGGGACCGACTACGAGTACACAGTATAATTCAATTTTAACACAATCTCGAGAAATATGCCTCAAAATAAAAATAAAAACAAAAGAAGAACTCCTCATTTTAGGATCCCCAATCGGCGAACTTCGCCAAAAAGAATTGCTCGACAAAAAAATTAAGGAGCTCGAAAAAATCTCGGATTTCATTGACAAACTAGACACCCATTATGGTTTTTACCTCCTGAAAAATAGTTTTAGCATGCCAAAACTCCTATATTGTTTGCGTACGAGCCCTTAGTTTTTGCAAAATGATTTTTTGGAACGCTACGACAAATTACTAAGAAATTCGTTATGCAAGGTCACTAATGTGAAAATGGATGATAACTTGTTTTTACAAGCAATTGTGACATTTGACCAGAAAGTACGAAAAGGCAGTTTCGCAATCGAAAGTTTATCGGTCTGAAAAAGGACATCTGACCTGGAAGATTGATGATTTTAATGGGTCAGCAGCGTTATTTGAACGATTAGACAAATCGAGAAGGGTTAGTTTGAACTGAAATGCTAATTTTTAAAATTTCGATTTGGGCGAAAACGACACGTAACCTTTTTATATTTCGCATACACTGGAACGGCGAAACAGAACAACAATAGTTGCAGTGAAAACAATGGCGAGAAAACGACAACAGATTGAAACTGTGATTGGAAATTGTCAGGAACCGTTCCGAGTTGGAAAGTTTGTGCTGCTACAATCGTTACAAAGAAGAACCCGAGAAAAAGGAAGGGTGTTGGGACGGCGTGTCCAAACTTCCGGAAAGAAATAGGAGTGCTATTTCCCTGGTTTCCAGAATCTGGAGGGGTCTTGGGCCCAAGACTCAAACTGTTTTATAGAAACTTTTAGCTTCCTGGTCATGTCCTGAGTTGAATTTAATTAACATCCAGATTCATTTTCAGAGAATAGGAAGCTAGGAGTGAGGGAAAGGGTTGATCCATCTTCGATGGAGATGATGATTTTTATCTACAGAACAATCAATGGTAATATAAAAAACAGTAGTAGCCCTGTTTTTGGGACTGACTTCGTGGTCTGGGGATATCGAGACCCAGCCATGAGCTCACTATTTTTGCATATAGTTAAGTTACTTTGAGTGTTTTGAACGAAGCCGGAAACAGTAACGTTAAGAAACCCACCAAAAGAACTGGATTTGGCGGAGACGTTGAAAAGCATGTAGAGCTGTGTTTAGACGCTGGCCAGTCGTTTTAGAACCTAGCTTTATTTTCCGTCGATATGTACTTCCGGGCGAATGTTACAAGTTCTACCGGCAGCCATATGTTAATACAGCCATCTCAAATGTCCGACTACTCAAGAGAGTACAAAAAGACTCGCGTGTTCCCTTGGCGGAAAGTCTGTCGGACAAAATAAATGACATCGTCTACAATAAGGAAGATGTTACAAAATGGCTAATTGTTTTAACGTCGTTGTTGTACTTTTTTGGAGCAACTTTCCAAACGGATCAGCAGCAGGTCCTGATAAAGTATTTCCTCTAATTTTTAAGGATCTAGTTAGTATGTCGAATGGCAGTGCAGGACTTAATTTTCTGAAATCGCTAACCAAACTGATAAACCTCATTGGAGATAACAAAATAGCCGAACTCCTAAGACTTTTCTTTTTTGGCGCAAAACTTATCGCCCTCATAAAGATAGACGGAGGGTTGAGATCGATTGCCATAGGCAACACGCTGAGACGCATCATGTCTAAATTTGCTGGAAGCAAGGCTCTCTCCGAGCGACAAATTTTTTTCGGAAACGTACAGGTTAGATGCAGTACCAAAAGAGGAGCAGAAATAGCTGCACACTCGTTTTGAAACCTAATTGAACGCCAAAATGCAAAAATCCAAAATGCACTGTTCTTTTAAAGCTAAGGTTTTAAGAATGCTTCAACTCTCTAAAAAGAGAAACAATGCTGAATCATGTTTATTCAAATCGCCCCGAATTGTATAATTACACACATTGCGCGTATAGTAAAACTAGTTACCTTTTTTACGGAGGCTCTGTCATAATGTCAGAAGACGGAACTCAGCAAGGTAATCCTGAATCCCACCCCTTTTTGCGGAAACAATTCAGACACTAGTCAAACAGTTGGAATCGAAAAATAACATCTGGTATTTAGATGAAGGAAATTTAGCCGAAGACTATAAAGTAGTAATCCAGGACCTTTAAAATTTTCTGAAATCGGAGCAATATTACGGCCTGATCTTGAACACTGAGTAGTGCGAACTTTGTTTTTTTTTGGGACCGACTACGAGTACACAGTATAATTCAATTTTAACACAATCTCGAGAAATATGCCTCAAAATAAAAATAAAAACAAAAGAAGAACTCCTCATTTTAGGATCCCCAATCGGCGAACTTCGCCAAAAAGAATTGCTCGACGAAAAAATTAAGGAGCTTGAAAAAATCTCGGATTTCATTGACAAACTAGACACCCATTATGGTTTTTACCTCCTGAAAAATAGTTTTAGCATGCCAAAACTCCTATATTTTTTGCGTACGAGCCCTTAGTTTTTGCAAAATGATTTTTTGGAACGCTACGACAAATTACTAAGAAATTCGTTATGCAAGGTCACTAATGTGAAAATGGATGATAACTTGTTTTTACAAGCAATTGTGACATTTGACCAGAAAGTACGAAAAGGCAGTTTCGCAATCGAAAGTTTATCGGTCTGAAAAAGGACATCTGACCTGGAAGATTGATGATTTTAATGGGTCAGCAGCGTTATTTGAACGATTAGACAAATCGAGAAGGGTTAGTTTGAACTGAAATGCTAATTTTTAAAATTTCGATTTGGGCGAAAACGACACGTAACCTTTTTATATTTCGCATACACTGGAACGGCGAAACAGAACAACAATAGTTGCAGTGAAAACAATGGCGAGAAAACGACAACAGATTGAAACTGTGATTGGAAATTGTCAGGAACCGTTCCGAGTTGGAAAGTTTGTGCTGCTACAATCGTTACAAAGAAGAACCCGAGAAAAAGGAAGGGTGTTGGGACGGCGTGTCCAAACTTCCGGAAAGAAATAGGAGTGCTATTTCCCTGGTTTCCAGAATCTGGAGGGGTCTTGGGCCCAAGACTCAAACTGTTTTATAGAAACTTTTAGCTTCCTGGTCATGTCCTGAGTTGAATTTAATTAACATCCAGATTCATTTTCAGAGAATAAGAAGCTAGGAGTGAGGGAAAGGGTTGATCCATCTTCGATGGAGATGATGATTTTTATCTACAGAACAATCAATGGTAATATAAAAAACAGTAGTAGCCCTGTTTTTGGGACTGACTTCGTGGTCTGGGGATATCGAGACCCAGCCATGAGCTCACTATTTTTGCATATAGTTAAGTTACTTTGAGTGTTTTGAACGAAGCCGGAAACAGTAACGTTAGGAAACCCACCAAAAGAACTGGATTTGGCGGAGACGTTGAAAAGCATGTAGAGCTGTGTTTAGACGCTGGCCAGTCGTTTTAGAACCTAGCTTTATTTTCCGTCGATATGTACTTCCGGGCGAATGTTACAAGTTCTACCGGCAGCCAAAGGTGGCTTGGGCGTTTCTTCCGCTCGTCTACTCGCTTTACCCGTTTTGTTAGCCTCAGCAGTAGGAGAAAAAAATGCCTTGAGCGAAATCTTTGGTTTGGAGCATGTGGAGGAAACCTATGATGATGCGCTTAAACAATGGTTTGAACTTGGAAAAATTGAAATGGCTCCGGAAAATGAATTCCAAAAAACTTGGACAGAGCGAATTTTTGACGGCGAAGTTGCAGTATTGATTTTACGACTGGAACCAACTGAGGTAAAAAGATTCAACGCGTTCTAAGATAGATTTGGCTCCCAGTGGTTGAACGCCATCCCGTGCAAAAGTTTAAACTAATGTGAAAATGGATGCGTCCACTTGTCATCTTCTTTTTTCATTATCACTTCCATATTCTGAAAATTCCAAGAATTTTGACTCGAATATGGGATGAAGGGACTCCTGACTGTAACCTCGGTTACTATGATACTTTTGACCTTCTGATTACTAGGAAAGAAAGAAAGTTAAAAAAAGACAAAAGAAGTAAAAGAGATAAAGGAAAAAAAAATAAACAAAGTGTTTAATTTAGCAGAAAATTGTTCTGTTCATTTTACATATGTTTGCAAATTTGAAAGTACTTTCAACCGGTAAAAAATGTTTATTTTATCAGAAAAACGTTCGGGCATAGTCCAATTGCTGAAAGGTTGAAGACGAATCATCAGTGCAAGAAACATCAAATAAAAATCCATAGAAATATCAAACAGGTACCTCCACTTTTAACTGGGCCCCTGGTTATCTCTTATCGAGTTATAAAAAATTTTATCTCGCCTTGTTTTTTTCTACGTTTTTCATTTTTTCGATATGTTTTTTTTACAGTTTTTTTATTATCTCAACTGATTCAACAGCAGCATCGAATAAATGATTTTAATGGAAATTCCAATTTCATAGCGCCTCTGGTGCATTTGGTTCTGAGGTAATGAATACGCATGGGAAGGTAAAAGTCGAGGGTTCGCATCTGACGAGGACATCTTTTTTCAGACGAGAACTATGGTGATTTAATAAAAATCTTGACACAAATTGCACAAAAAACCCTGCCCCGATTCTGAACAGACAGGCGCTGGATATATTCCGGTTCTATTTGTTGATAATTTTTTTCTGGTTCTATATGATGATGAACTGTTGTGAGTAACTTGTTTATTATGGCTCTTGCTTCTAGTCAGTTCGCTCTCTTGTTTTGATTTTTATGAATAAATCGATGAGCTAACTGTTTTTGTTTAACTCCGTTTTTTGTTATTCTGTATTCATTTAATCAAGGTGTACAAAAAACGTTTGTTACTTACCTTTGACATTCTACATGTTATCTCTATCAGTACTCTAGATTCATATGGCTGTGCGAGGGGGTCTTTACATTCTCGCCGGCGAATTGGATGACATGATCCAAGTCATGAAAAACGGTGGCTTTGGAGGGCAGCGAAATTCCAGGGAGTCTGCTGGATGGACACTCGACTCCGCAGATCTGCATCCTCTGCTTCTCAAGTTTTACGAGCTCAAAGAAACCCTTTCAAACATAACTGATTTATGCGAAATTGAACTCTGCGTATTTTTACAGCCATTTTTAGATGTGATCCGATCACCGGATACCACAGGACCAACTACTGGCGCGGCACTTTTCAGTGTGAACAAGTTTATCTGTTGTAATATGATTGATTCATCAAGCACAGATATATCAGGAGCTGTCGCTTCAATAGCTGATACAGTAACGCATGCAAGGTGATTTCAATTCCATTGTGCATTGTTAAAGTCTCCATTGATTGTTACTCTTGTGATTAACATAGATTTTTCCACAATTGTTTTAACAATTGAACAGTTAACAATTCATTCTGCCCAGGGAAGACTAAGATCCAGGTTTTGAGTGCCGCCAGAACCTGTGTAATTGAATATATATTTTTCGGAAATTGCATTGTTTAAGTGTCAATAAATATAAAGCAGTGTAATTTGTTTTTTTTTCCCAGAAAATGTCTAGAAGATGTAAAGCTAGATTAGCAGGATTAAATGCAAGTTAGGTCTCGCAGAATGTTCCAATAACAGAGACTTCTCCAAAAAGATTTTTTTTTCCGGTTAATGTTACCATTACGACTTTTTAGGAGATAGAAACGCAGATAAAAATTAGCTTGCCTGAAACTACCTAAAATTTGATAGATCCGAAGGGTATTGCAATCGGGTACTTGACTTTTTTTCACTTAATGGTCAAAATAGGAAATGGTAAGTTAAGGTTCATTTCATAATGAGTTCATTTTTTTGCGCCTCCGCCGCACTTGATCTGGAGGTAGGTAAATAAAACGCCTGGGTCGGCAAAGGTCCTGTTTTTTTAAACAGGAAACTTTTCGTTTCGAAAAGATGGCTTGTTTGTTATTGTTTGTCTGCTTATGTTTTTTTTAGATTAGTTGCTACTTCGTATCATTGTTTTGTAAGAGTCAATGAACGTAGTTCAGACTCTTATATAAGTCGCGATGATTATTTTTCAGGAAAATCTTTGCAATTGCTTCACGCTCAAATTAATTTTTCCTGGTATGACTGATTTATTTTTAAGTTCAGTTCATTTCCTTTGTTGAAAGAAAGGCAAACTCTACTATCGAACAGCGAAATTGAAGGGTTCTGGTTTTTTCGTTTTTTTTTCAGGAAAATGTTTTAAATTTGTTCAGACTGAAATTTATTTCTTCGTGGTTTGACAGATTTTTTTAAAGTTCATTTCATTTGTTGAAAGAAAGGCAAACTCTATCGAACAGCGAAAGTGTAAAGCTCACGAAAATGTGATCGACTTCTAACTTCGAAATTAGAATTTAATGATAAGATTTGGGTGAAATTTTGTTGAAAAGTGTCAACCATAAATTGTACTAGAAGTTCCAAGAGCTTGGGGCATCTATTTTGTTCTTTGAATTTCGAAAATTGAGACTTTTTTCAAAAAACAAGTCAGTATTTCTTTAGTTTATTTGCGTGCATTGACAATTTTCCAACTGTCTGTTGGCTGTGTTAGCTGAACGTTATTTAATTTGTAGTTGCTTTTTAGTTTTGTGATTTACTTCTGCTGTTGTTAATTTTACTAGCCTTGTTTTCGTATATTGTCTTCTTCTTTCGCTTAATCTATGTAATCGGTTTGAATGAGTTCAACCTATATTTGCTTAGTGACCTAATTGTCAATCGCCTTAAGGGAAATAGTATATTTACTCTCCCCTCTTGATCGTACTAGATTTTCAGATATGAATTGATTTTTTTCTATTAATCATTTTGTCCCAATTTTTGTCGGTTCATTTCTTAGTTGCTTTTTTCTTAATTTTCAAGAGAGTAACTGCAGTTCATGGTTTCATAGTTTTTATACGCGCCATGTTTTTCTCTTGGAAATTTTCTGTTATTGTTTTTCAACTGCACGGTTTCTGATTTATTTTGTTTAATCTAAGGAATAAGTTTTAATATATTGGTTTGTTAAAGGATTGATAAAATTAAAATTTGTTCGTTTTCAAAGTTTTTTTTATGCTCCCATCTGATCGCACAAAAATTTCAGATATAAATTGTTTTCTTTTTTGATTAATGATTTCGTCAGAGTTTTTGTCGTCTTTCTGGTCAAATAATTATTTTTCTTTATTTTTTTGGTAGATTTAAGTTTTTTTTTCTTAATTTTCAAAAGGGTAAATATAAGTAATCGTTTTCTGGGTTTTTATAAAAGCCAAAAAATTTTGTTAGAAAACAAGATTTATAAAGCCGCTAAATTTTGTTAGAAAACAAGATTTATTTGAAATTTGGATTAAATTTTCTTGCAAGGTTTCTGATTTTTAAAAGTTTGTAGAATTAGTTTTAGCTTTGATTCATTGGTTTGTTTAATGAATATCAATTTTAATTGGAATCGGTTCAAGCTGATGGCGCACTATTTTGTCTTCCTTTATATATTTTTTCGTCAAACGTTGCTATGTTTCTGGTTTTACACTAGCGATCAGAGTAGTGCATTATTACGAACCTTCTTTTTTTCAAACCTAACTTGCAAATAAAAGTGATCATTAAATGTTCACTTATTTGGAAATTTCACTGCAGCATTGGAAGTTGTATATCATCAGTTCTCTGATTTTTTTGTGGCTAGTTTTTGGTTCCTATTAAGCTTCCGTGGTTGAGTGTTAAGTGTGTTGACTCTTAATCTCTAGATCGCAGTTTCGAATCTCAGGCGTAGCCGAAATTTTTACTAATTCGAGTCTTATTTCTAACTTATTGCACTTTATAGAGCCACTGTTTGCCGTGTTCTCGGTAGTGTTTGCGAAGCCAAGCTTCGCCTCTGTGTTTAAGAATCATTATTTTTCTTTTTACTTGAGGTCAGGTCTGTTTTTTTTGTCTATTTTTGCATTTTTGACTTTATTTCAAACTCAAACATTTGACTTGGTTTGAAATATTGAATTTTTTTATTAGTTCAGTCTTAGTATATATTAGCCCATTTCGGCGTAATGTTTTTCAGGTTTTACATGCCTCAGAATTTGGTAGCATATCAAAAGCATTTTAGTAATTTTTCGTAATTGGGATTTTTGAAAATATTTTTAAGAACATCAATGTCGATAAAATTATTCAGTACAGCTTCGCTATTCGGATCCAAAATGTTAGTGGAAGAAGTTGGAGTTTTATAATTGAAAAACAAAAATTTGTTTTCGAAATTTTAGTGGTTTTACTTATTTTCATAGAACGCTTATTATAACAGGTAGTTTAGTCATTTCCTTGTTTGCAACGATAACATTCTCTGATACTTGCACAGCGATTGGCAACCCTTGTTACGATTTAGTTTTCTTAATACATTTAACATGTTCTTAGGTTTGTGGGCACTGATCCGAGTAGGGACGAAGTTGTTCTGATGCAAATTCTGCAAGTGCTGAGGACTCTGATGTTGGCGCCATGTGGTTCTTACTTGACTAATGAAAGTGTGGTTGAAATTCTTCAAAGCTGCTTCCGAATCTGCTTCGAGACTAGACTAAGTGAGCTTCTGAGAAAAACTTCCGAGCATACTTTAGCCGACATGATCAAGATTCTTTTTTCGAGGCTGCCTAGTTTTAAAGAAGATTCGCGCAGTAGTATCAGATTAAGGATGAGGTCATCGAGACTAAAAAACAAGTCCAGTTTGAAGAAGTTAGCAAATAATGATGGAGGCGAAAATAGTTCTATGGGACAAGCAAAGAAATCTAATCTGAAGCGAAGGGAGTCCGCATCAGCTGAAGACATATCAACGCGTGCAAATAACACCTGCGAAAATTTAGAACGAAAGACGCAAGGTGAAACTGCTGGCGATAAAGAAAAGGTGTCGAGTTATGACTCAACAGCGAGTAGGGAGTTGAGAGATGATGGTGGTAGTGCTGGCGTTGGGGAGATGTGTACAAATGAAGGAGACCGAACAAAACTTCTGAGCACCAGCAGTCCCGTTTTATCTAATCTAAAAAAGAGCATGAGTGAGCCAGATTTAGCCGATGAGCAGAACCTTTCCACTCTCGAGGAGTGCTGTGAGGATGACAGAGGGGCTGAGAATGAGAGTGAGAAAAGGGTAAGAGAGGAGTTTGCAATGGTGGACATCAACGAGGAAGAGTCCATCGGAGACCAGAGTGACTCGGCGTCCAATGTCACCAATGGAGGAGTAGGTGGACAGCAGGACTTGTCTGACTACGTGAACCCTCGGGGCATTCGATTCACTCAAGAAGTGCACCACTATGAGGACGATGTTGTCCTGATACCCCATGGTTTGCCATGTGTCAGGGAACTGTTCCGCTTTCTTATCACTTTGATCAACCCATACGATAATCACAATAATGAGTATATGATTCAAATTAGTCTTTCGCTACTGACAGTAGCGTTAGAAGTGGCTTCCGACAGCATCGCCAATTTCTCATCCCTCCTCAAACTCGCAAGAGAGGAACTATGCAAACATCTGTTCTCGCTTCTGTACCACAGGCGGTTTTTCCTGGTTCTTCCTTCGCTGCGATTGAGTTTCCTAGTGTTCGAATCTATCCGAACATTTGTCAAACTGCAGATGGAGTGCTACTTGATCCGAATCATGGAGCTCATGAATTCGGATTTGGTAGCTCTAGACATCAAAGAGAAGGCCATCGATTTCCTAGTCAAACTATTCAAGGTGCCAGGCTTCGCGGCTGAATTGTACATTAACTTCGATTGCGACGTTTATTGCAGCAATTTGTTCGAAGACATCACGAAGTTGCTGTCGAAGAATGCATTCCCGGTTTCAGGTCTTCAGAACTATCACATTTTATCGCTGGATGCTCTTTTGGCTTTGATTGATACAGTTTCTGCTCACTGCAACCACGCCAGTCAGAGTGGCAGTAATTATGACTCCCCAACACACAGTAAGATAGACATAGTCAAGGTGAAAGAACGCAAGCGGCACTTGGAAACGGGAACTGACATGTTCAACCAGAAGCCAAAAGATGGCATTGAGTATTTACAGAATCACGGATTTCTTGAGAAGCCGCTGGACTTCAAAGAGGTCGCTAATCATTTGCGGGAGAATTGGAGACTGGACAAGAAAATGATTGGCGAGTACATTTCAGACAAGAGAGTCGGACAGTTGTTGACTGAGTACATATCCACGTTCAACTTCGCCCAAGTCAGACTAGACGAAGCTCTCAGGAGTTTCCTAGAAAGTTTTCGACTCCCTGGGGAGGCGCCGGTTATTTCATACATTTTGGAAGCATTCTCCCACAATTGGCACGAGAGTAACGACCGGCCATTTGCCAGTGACGACGCAGTGTACATTTTAGCTTACGCAATTGTAATGTTAAATACAGACCAACACAACCCACAGGCCAAAAAACAGAACATTCCGATGTCGTTGAATGATTTCAAAAGCCAAGTGAGAGGGGTCAACGGGGGCAGTGACTTCGAGCCCGAAATGATCGAAGAGATCTACTTGGCAATTAAATCGAAGGAGATAGTATTGCCGACCGAACAAAGTGGACCACTGAAGGAGAATTACGTGTGGAAGCAACTGGACATAAGGGCCACCACTGGATCAGTCATGCCATACATCCCAGCTCACGACGGAGCCTATAACCTGGACATTTTCACTCTGGTCTGGGGATCGACTGTGGCTGCTCTTTCTTTCGTGTTCGACAAAAGCATGGAAGAGAAGACTATTCTGAAAAGCATCAGTGGCTTTCGCAAGTGTGCACAGATTGCTGCCTTTTATGGCTGCGGAGATGTGTTCGATAATTTGGTTATATCTTTGTGTAAGTTCACTACACTCGTCAATATCAACGCCGAAGGACCCGAAATGGTTCCGTATTATTTTGGCTTCAACGCCAAGGCCCAATTAGCTGCCAAAACTATGTTTCAACTGGCGCACAACCAGGGCGACACCCTGCGGGAAGGCTGGAAAAACATTGTGGACTGTCTGCAGAATCTCTTCAAGTGTAAGCTGGTTCCCAATTCCATGGTAGAAGTGGAAGATTTTGTGGACCCAAGTGGGAAGATATCCCTCACTAGGGACGAGTCGACTCGAATGGTGAAGAACGATAGCTCTGGACTTCTGAGTTCTTTCTACTCCTACTTCACGGGATCCGACGTCCAGGCAACCAGAGGAGTCTCAGCTGAGGACCAGGAGGCACTGCAACAAGCCAAAAACTGTATTGTGGAGTGCAAACCAGACCAACTCATATCAGAGTCCAAATTTCTACAAGAACAGTCCTTGCTGGAGTTGGTGAAGGCGCTGCGATTCGCATCCCAGGGACCCGAAGCTAGGCTCGGCGAAGGCGTGTTTGACCAAGACTTAGCTGTATTCAACCTGGAATTGTTGATTCAGGTAGCAATCCAGAACCGAGATCGCATTACGCTAATTTGGTCACAGATTAATCGACATCTCTGCGATTTGATTACTGAAGCCAAAATTTGCTCGTTTTTAGTGCAGCGTGCAGTTGTCGGGCTTCTACGCCTGTGTATTAGACTATTGCATAATGAAATCGTCGCCAGTGATGTAATTCAAGCACTGAAAGTACTTTTATTTGTGGAACATAAAGTTATGAAAATTGCGTGCCGCGAAGTTGCATTCGGTCTGTATGAGTTGATAAAAACAAATGCTGCCAATATACATCTTTCAAACGACTGGAATGTGGTTCTAGCATTATTGCAATCCGCTGGAACAGGACTGAAGTTTGTCAAGTTCAAGTCCATATCTGAAATCGATTCGACGCTGGGTGCAACTAAACCACAAACTGCTGGAAGCAAAACCAGGGAAATAGTAGATATTCCTTGCTTAGGCCAGTATGTGATCAAAGACAAGGAGAAACAGGGCATAAACGATGTAAGAGCCTTCATGAAATGTTGGCAAGGCTTAGTTCTAATAGTACAAGATACCGCCCATGTCACACCGTATAACCTGGAGCCATGTGCGACAACTCTGAAGATATTTGCAGAAGCCGCGAGTTACAGAAAAACAAAGAAGAGCAAAATAGAGAGTAGCGGTAAACCTCAAAAAAGAGTAAGCTCATCCAAATCGAAGAATGTTTCGGCAGGTGGTAATAATAAAACTCCGTCGCCGTCCGAGTCGCTGAACATGAGTGTAATGTCAGACGAGGAGGAAGAAAGTGTGATGGTAACTCAAATCGAAGTTATTTCGCAACTTCTCATTCGAATCGAGGAACTTCACAACCGGGCGCCCAAGATGCTCAAGTCCTGGGCTGCCGAGGACGTCGTTACGTCTTCAGCAGACTCTGCGGGCGTAGTCAATAGCCAGCAGAAGAGCTCTTCATCGTCCATTGCAGGGTTCAGCCTGTGGGACCAGTGCTGGTTGCCGCTTCTGTTGGCAATTGGACGTCTATGTTGTGACAGTCGTCGCGAGGTTCGAATGGACGCTCTAGGACGGCTGCAAAGATGTCTACTTACACACGAGATGCTTTGTTTGACGTCGAAAGAATGGGAGAGCTGCTTCAATGTTGTGTTTTTACCCATATTACACCAGCTCCTCGAGAGTTCCGTTAACCCGAATGACCCCTCAGGCATGGAAGAAACCCGTATGAGGGCTGCAAATACATTGAGCAAAGTTTTTCTGCAGAGACTAAACACTTTATTAAGTTTACCGAACTTTCTCGACCTCTGGGTAGATATTCTGATGTGTATGAAGAAGTACATGCATGCCGATAATTCAGAATTGTTGGCCGAGGCGATCCCAGAGTCGCTGAAAAACATTCTTTTGGTCATGCAAACTGCCAGACTGTTCGACGTCAGAAGTCAGTTCACTATTGTCACATGGAAAACACTTGACGAATTTCTTCCTAAATTGCAATCTGAAATTTTATCTACTACCTCTAATGTCGGAGTTGTGCCACCAATGGAAGCTCAATCACAAAAAGTATCTTCTCCTCCCTCTTCCCGTCTGTCAGCGGTTGAACAGAGTGACGCTATAGAAGTAATTGATGGATCAAAAGCAGAACAAGCAGTCGTCAATGAAACAGTCCCGGAGTCCACAAAATGCGGAGACGGTACTTCTACAATCACAGAAACCAGCAGCACAACAGGCTTAAGACACCTCGACTCGCCGGAACTTTCTGTGCCAGAGAAGGAGGCTTCAGTCACAAGTAGGCAGACAGTGGGATCTGAGGTAGAGGAGAGTTCGGACGCGGAGTTCCCGAGTATAATAATCCAGCCACCGCTTCCGGAGACATCCATCAGCATGAACACGAAAAGTCTGGAACCGCAATTGAGTCATTCATATCGAGACAATGACGATGAAACGGGGCATTCAGTTACAGCTGTAGCGCCTGTGGTGATAACAACTCAATGTGGGGATTTCGTAGAAACAGAGACGAAAAGAGGTCAGGAGTTGACTGCGGAATAGATAGAGATGTATAATTTCTATGTGGGACAGGTTTGGATGTTAGAACTGGATTATGACTGCGTAACTAATGCAATTACAATTTCGTCAATTCGCACCACTCAAGTTCCGTCCGCGTCGTCGCCGCTCTTAATGTGTAATATTTTTATGCTCACATAAAAAAGACTTTGTCGAATGCTTCTAAATGAGTTAGAGCCTGCTCAGTTGAATTGTCCAAAGTAAAGAAAAAGTTGAGACGGTAGCTTTGGCTAACAAAAATGTGTATTATAGGGCTGTAAAATTTTCTAATTGAACTTTCTGTGGGGTTAGTTTTATTTTATTGTATCAGATTTACATATTGAATTTATCTAAAATATATATAATTCGAATTTTTTCTCAGAATTGTTTTAAATTAAATGAGCAATTCAGAATTACATAATTTAAATTATGACCAAATTCAGAGTTACATAAAACTGCGCAACTGTTTTTTTCTTTCAATTTTTTAAAATTCATTTTGGAAACTTCAATTTGGGCTTTTGTAATGACTTTTGAAACAATAACTGTTCTTAACTGAAGCCTCTATTAAGGTTTCGAAGCTTAATTTTGCCCCCCTGACGCTCAGATTTAAAAAATTTCTCAGTGTCGAAAAAAATTGGTTGAACTTTTTGCTTGTCAATTTAACTTCTAGTTATATAGCGAGCGAGTAGTACTTATATTAGGGAATTGAGCTTTATCAACGGGATAGAATTTAAAATTTGTTTTTTTTTCATGAAAACCAGATTGCAAAGCTTCATACATCGCTGCCTTTGCTATAAAAAGGTTCCTATAAAATCAAAATTATTTTCTGTAAAAAAAATTTAGTTCTTTGTTCTGTTATTCATTTTTTGACGACAACTTTAGCCGATTATGCCTTCTTTAATATATAATTTTTGCCTTGTTCTTTTGAGCAGGCCACGCAGATAAAACTACCCAAAAATTGTTCATTTAGTCGGTTTTCTGTACACTTTCTGCCCTGCATGCACAGAGCCGGCGATTCCTATTGTAGTTGTTCTGGCTTTCGAAGAAAGGACGGAATATTTATGCTGTTTTGCTGTTTTTTTCTTTTTAAATATTTTAAAGCCATTTATGAATTGAGTTTTTTATACCATCTAGAAAGTCTAGATTAGTTAGAGCCTGCTCAATGGATATTTCCAATGTAAAGAAAGAGTTGAGACGGTAGCTTTAGCTAAAATTATTGTGTAGTATACGTCTGTAATATTTCCTAATTGACTTTATGTGGGTATCATGAATTGAGTTATACCGTGATTACACATGCGAAGCGTTTTGTATTATTACAAAGAATTTTTTCTAACCCAAGTCGCAAATGAAAGTGTTCATTTAGTGGCACTTTTGGTATATTTCAATATAATCAAAAGCCTATTTTAGCATACGATATTTAAAAGCATAAGTTGCTGCCTTATTAAGAGTAACGAATGTAGTGAAGACTCTTATATAGGTCTTGCTAATTTTTTTGTTTTTTTTTTATCAGGAAAAAGTCTGGAAATTTGTTCAAGCTCAATTTTGATTTATCGAGGTTTGGCTTGTGATTTTTAAGTTCAGTGCATTTCTATTGTTAAATTCTATTGGCAAACTCCAGTATCGAACAGCAAAATTGTGAAGGTCACGAAAAACGTGATCTACTCTAATTTTGAAAATGGAAATTAATTATCAGATTTCTCAGCAAAAAAAAAGTTTCATCTATTGATCCATTTTTCTCAAATTAATGAGTTAATTTAAGCAAAAAAAAGTATCCATCTTAAATTGTTTTACAAATTCATAGAGCTTTAAGGCCATCTAATTTTTTATTCGAAATTCAGAGTTGAAGATTTTTGGAAAAACAAGTCGTTTTTTTTGTTTCCTTTCCTTCATTACTCTTTTCCAACTGTCAGTTGGCTATGTTTTTGGCGAATGTTGAGTCTTATTATTAAAAAAACGGTATAATGAAAAGTATTTATTTTTTTTTTGCGACGGTTTTGAAAATTTTTGCGTTTTTTGAAGAAATTTCAAATTTTCTCAAAAACTATACCATTTTCTACAACTATACAGAAAAAATGGTATCAATATAAATTGGCTTCTTTTCTATGTGACTGCATCATTCGATAGTCTCTTTTCATTTAAACCCACGTTCTTTGTTTCATTTTCTCAATTTTTAAACATATCCGAAATGAAGGTTTCAATCAAAAGAACAAATCATGATCTTCTCTTCTCAAGCGGTTATTCCCTAAATTCGGTAGAAAAAATTATTATCTCAAAAAAGCCCATTTTTTGACATTTGCTTTATTTTAAACTAATTCTCGAAAACTACCCTGTCAAATCGGAGATTAAGTTTTAGCCGAAAGAAGAACAATCAGTTTTGCAAATCTTCTCTGCGCAAGTGGCTGTGCACTGCGTTTTCAAAAATGGCCTTGGACAATATCCAATTTTTGCCTGTTTTTGGAAGCCTATTTAAAAAAAAACCAACCTGCTGATTGCGAGGTTGATAGCGCATTCAAACTTACTTGGTGCTTAGATTTCTTTTTGAGCAATCTACCTATTTGTTGTAGAAAAGTTGATATGGATTTCGGAAAAATCCATTTTTTGAAATTTTTACCTTTTTTTTATAGAAATTTCATCACTTCTCTCAAAAACTGCTAGCAAAGTCTGATATCAGGGGTTCAATCTAAAAATCAGGGTGTGGACGTTTTTCTGCATAAGAGGCTATGCCCATGCGTTAGTGGAGAAAAGTCTATGAAGCTTGGAAAAATCAAATTTGTGAGTTTTTGATCATTTTTTGGAATCTTTTTAATTTTTTTTCTCGAAAATTACCAAGCCAAATCTAGCAGAGATTACCAAGCAGGGCCACTAGTTTACTTCCAAGCTACCTGGAGATTCAAGTCCAGAGCCTTGAAATTGTTTTTTTTTGTCTTATCTTTGCTGCGTAGAAGTGGCAATTTGATAGAAACTGTAGCTGCGTTATTGATGACTACTGCTAGTAAAATTACAAGCGTTCGTGGAGCAGATGTGAGATTGTGATTCTCCTAATCTCTCTAATTTTCTTCTTAAGGTGTATTTGTATTCTTTTCCTTTATTCATTTTGTTTTACCTGTTTAGAGCTCTTTTTGCATTTTCCTTGCATGTGTTTCCGAAGCGCAGCTTTGCCTCTGTGTTTGAATTATACAAATTAGGGTTCTTTTACCAACCCTTATTTTGTATTTTTTCTTAATATTTTTCTCTTTGCAATGGTTTCGGATTTAACTGTTTGGGCATAGTCACCTAAAATTGCGTTGAAAGAAAACATATTTTTATCCCTTTGTGATTTCAGAGAGGAGGAATTCCGACAGGCTTCAACTCATTGTTTTCTTGACCAACTTTTGTTTTGGGCTCAACTGATGTCTACCTAATCACTGTCACCCTAGTTGCCGCTCGATTAATTTTTATGTGTTTTTTTAAACGGCGTTGAGTGGCATGCTTGAAAGCTTTTCATCAAATTGACCATCGCGTAGACAAGCGTATGCCGCTTGTCAAATGGTTATCAAAATCAGAAATGGGAAATTTAGGTTCAATTTAAAACGGATTCAACTTCCTTTGCGTCTCTGGCCTTCTTTGGTCCGGAGGTAACGAATACACCTGGGCTGGCAAAAGTCTTGGTTTCGAATCGCTCAAGGCCTGTTTTATATTCAAACGAAATAATCCGTTTCAAAAAGGTTGTCGGCCTAATGTCTGCTGATATTTTTAGAGGCTTCGTTGACCCATCGTAAAATTGTTTTTTTTTGCGGTACTCAATTTACATCGTAGTTGTTTTACTAGTTTTATTTACTTCTGCTGTTTGTAATTTTACTAACCTTGACTTCGTATATATTTGAATTTTTTTCAAACTTTATTCTGCCCAAATTATTCGGCTTATATTTTATCGGCTTTGTGACCTAATCTTAAGTCGTTTCAAGGGAAACATCATTTTAATGCTGCTCTCTCGATCGCACAAAACGGCGAAAATTTTAGAATAGAGATTAAGTTCAAAGTATTTCATGAGAATCGTTTGCGTTCGGTTCTACAGTAATTTACGCACGGTTTGACGCCTCAGTTGACGTTCGATGAATGCTTTTAGATTTTCATTAAACGTCGTCGGTTTTGTTTATGAACGACTTTTCCCGAAATGGGGGGGCATCATTTCAGACACAACATTGAAGTTGTAGTTATGGTTTTTTCGTTTTTTTTGTCTTTTTTGGGGACATAGTGGGTATTATTTTTTTTCTGTCTGCTAGGTGGTAATGCTGTTTTATAGTGGTATCGCATGGTCTCTGTGTTTCATCGACTTAGTGGTTTTGTCCATTTGTTGTTCGATATCTTACAAAGCTATGTTTTTGTGGTATCGCAAGTGGTTCTCAAATTATGAACAGTTATCAAACTGTTTGGAAAACAAATTGTAGTCTTCGGATCTTTTGACGTTCAAAAATGAACGAAATATCATTTTTACGCAAGTGACCTAGCGAGCGAAGTGTCATACTATTTTTCAATGTTACTCACAAATATAAGTGCTCTTTGTGGGGCACGATTGCTTCAATGCCGAAAATTGGCAATTTAATAGCATCTGTGGCTGCTTTTTTGCTGACTAATCTTAATGTATTTTGTTAATGAGGACGTTAGGTGCCTAATCTGTGGGTCAATTCTGGTACATTTAATGACAACTTTGCTTCAATTCATTGCATCGCAATTTTAATAGGATCTAGCTGCTGTATTGGTTGCCATGTTTTGCTTTTTTTTCAAGCTACGGTGGCGCAGATGCGAGGACGTCAGGCTCCTAATTTATTAGTCGGAATTCAAGAAAAAACAAATTTATGTTTTTCTTATTTTTTCCTTTATTTCAAAAACTTTTTTAGAGCTGTTCATCGTTGTTTTTGTTCGTTTTTTGTGAAGTGCGGCTTTTTCTTTGTGTTTATTTTATTTTCAAATCTATAGACCGTTGTTACATTTGAGATCGGCAGGTCGGAACATAAACTTTCAGTAAACATTTTTCTAACAGAATCACTGACCAATTTTGTCAATTCTATCGGAGACTTCAGTCAACATATATTTTCTGAACATTTTCGCTTCTTAATTAGCCGTTATGTTGATACAAGCGAGCTTGCGAGTATTTTGCTATACTGCAATTTCATTTTTCTAATCCAACTCGCAAAGGAAAATGCTCTTTTTGGGGTTATATTTGCTGCATATGAGTTTAAACTGCCAATGATCTGTTCTCCGCTTATGAGTTGCTAGTATTGCCGTTCTTTAATCGTTATTGGTACAGTTTTGTTGGGCAGTCGTCAGATGGTTCAGAATTCTGGTTCGATTCCCGTAGAAGGCAGTTATTTCTCAAAACTCAATAATGTTTTTATTTTCTTGCTTGTTTCTTTAAGAGTCGATGAACGTAGTCAGACTCCTGTTGGTCGCGATGATTTTTTTCCGTTTTCTTTCTTCAGGAAAAGTCTATAATTTGACCAGATTTTTCGTGTTTTGATTTTTGGCTTCTTTAAAAATTCACTTCATTTCCTTTTTCACAATCCACTATCGAACAGCGAAAAAGTATTATATAATAATATCAACTTTTCAAGTTGTCTTTTTAATTTGTTATGCTAACTCAATCCTCGAACTCGTCTTTCTCGTTCACGAAAAACGTGATAGACTTCTAGTTTCGAAAGTAGTTTTTATTAATTGACTTTCCCACCGAAATAGAAATTCTACCTATTGATCCAGTTTTCTCAAGTTAGGTTAATTTTACCTAAAAAATGTCAATCTCAAATTGTTCTAGAAATTCGAAGAGCTGTAAGGCCATCTTTTTTCTTTGAAAAGTCCGTTTTTCGTTTTCTTGCATTAATTGACTCTTTTCCAGCTATCTGTTGGATATGTTTTTTAAGTCTTTCAATGCTATTTCTTGGCATTTTGTAGCTTGTGTTTGCAAAGCGCAGCTTTGCCTCTGTGTTAGTAAAAAGTAAATAATCCACTTTGTCGGTCTGTTCGTCTACTTATAATTTGTCGGCTAAGTTGCACGTTTTTGATTTTAATGAGTAAATGAATGTAGTGAAGACTTTATTATAGGTCTTGATGGTTTTTTTGTTTGTTTTCTTTTCACGAAAAAGTCATAAAAGTTTGTTCACGCTTAAGTTTGATTTTTTGATCCGACCATTGAAAATGGGGAGGCGCTTTGTATTCGGGTGTTTTAGTTTTTTTTTATTTTCGGCGAAAAATCAGGTACCACAAATAATGATCGGACTGGGTTGAGTGATATATTATATTGAAGCCCTTACAGTCGTGATTCGAACAACATTAAATTTCAAAAAAGGTGTCGGGAAAAACCGGTTTGAAATTTTAATTTTTCGTCTTATTTCGAGCGAATAAAGCGAGCGAGCAGTCTCATTCTAATTGCTTTGTATCTTACAATAGCTTATTTTGAAACGTAAAAACTTAGTTTCAATCGGTAACGTTATTTTAGTTTTAGTATTTTAAGGCCTTTTTGAAATCTAAATTTTCAAAAAAACTGCAAAAAAAAACGTTTCGATTTTTTTTTCGTTTTTCTAGTAATTTTTCCACAAAAATTGTTTTTCAATTTGTTAGTTTTAGTATGGCTGTCAAATATTTAGCTCGTTTAGCTTTTTTTATCACACCACGCCGAAAACCAACGACAAAATTTGAAAAAACTTAGCTGTTTTTTTTTAAAGACTGTGGTCGGAGCTTTCTATGCTACTTCCACAGTAACTGGCTATCCTTGTCGCGGTTTGAGTTCTGATTTTTTGTTAAGTTCAATTCTTTTCCATGTTAAATTCAATGTTAAAATGTTAAATTCAATGTTAAATGTTAAATTCAATGTTTTGTTAAGTTCAATGTTAAAATGGCGAAAAATTCCACTATCTAACAGCAAAAGGGTAAATGTGACGAAAAATGAGATCGACTTTTAGTTTCGAAAGTGGCTTTCACTTTTTAGTTTTGTAAATTGTTTATCTAAATCAAAGAGCTTTAACGCCCTAAGCCGTATTACTTTTTTGAAACTTGAAAGTTGAAAATTGTTTAACAAGTTAAACAGTTTTTTTTTAATTTGTTCAAATGGATAGTAAGTTCAAAGCATTCGTTTGTATTTTTTGATTAAATAACCACTCTTGCTTGATGTTGTAGATTTGATTTCTTTTAAGTTCACTTCCTAGTCATTTAGCAAATAGAGGGAAAATAACACTTTTCAGTTAAAATAAAGTGCAAATGGACCAAAAAATGGGTCTTGGTTTTCAGTTTCGAAAGTGGATTTTTGTTAGTGTTTCTTAGTGGAATTAAAAACTTAGTTTTGATCCACTTTTTTCCGATTGGATTAGTTTTATCCAATCAGTTACGAAGTCTTAGTGTCGGTCAAAAGCGTCTTGAATTCAGACAGTTATGGCTATGTAGTATGGTCTGTGCAACTATGACTTTTGTCATCGGTTAAAAATGTTTTTGTTTGTTTATATACTGCGATCCTAATTGTCATGCTTCTTTGAAACCTTTTCTTTTTTAGAGGAAATGCTTGATAGCAAGTTTGAGTGATGGCTTGCAGCAACTGTAGGAAGTGCGGTCCATCTAGTTTGAAGGTTGACTCTCATTTATTTTGCGATTCGCTGTGCTACTTGGAGTACCAAAGACGCCCTGATGCGACAGTGACCCCGTGCATCGCCTGTAAGAAGTGTTTTAGACTGCCTAGCAATGCGACCGAACAGTTTCAGTATCACAAAGTGTTTCTGTGCTCCAAGAAGTGCCTCTGCTTATTTCGACAGTGCTTCAGGAGCTTCTGCAGAGGTTGCGGTGAGTTCTCCCCCTCCTCTCCTAATATAGGGGGACCTGGAGGTGACGATCTGTGTTCTCCTGAGTGTAGAGAGATGGTGTATGGTCCATGCGTTGCTTGTGGGTTCGGACAGAACGAAGGTCTCTCCCTGGTAAGACAAAACGAACATAATCATATTAAGAACTCCAATTTTTTTTGCAAAGAATAGTATTTTAATTCACCAAATATTTTTTAGATAAAGGTCCAGTTCAATGAGAATTACTGATTCATCCTGAATTAAGTACTGAATGAAATAATAGTTTTTGTTTCTGGGATTGAAATAGTTTCCTCAAGTAACGAGCTCGGATTATGGTGGGTTTAATGCCGTCAAATTTTTGAGTTTTGCGCGATATGAATAAAAATGGTTTATTATGTACAATCATGTTGGCATTGGTTATTGCGACAAGTTAACACCTCTGTGCATACACAAAGAGTGATGATGATGATGATGATGATGATGATGATGATGATGATGACGCTTGTTTTATAAAAGTTTAGTCATTTGGCATGGTTTAGTACTCTCTGGCTCTTCCGGACGGCAGATTGAAAAGATGTTGCATGAACCCGGAGTGTATGACAGGCTTCGACCACTGTCTTAATCAGATGTGCTCCTACTGCTGCCAGGAACCGCCAGTGCCTGAGAGGAGGATGAGGATGGAATTCGCAGACAAGAAAGTGCTGCTCTTTTGCAACGCAGAATGCCTCCGATCCTTCGTTCAAAGTCGTACGAAAGAAAATGTACAGTATGCTACGAATGAATTGGAAATGCCTCCTAATAGCTCCCTCAACATGCAAAGCTGTCAGGCTAATGATATGCAATCAAAATCATTTGTGCCTTCTCAGTTTCCACAGATGAGTAATCGAGATCTGATTGTATCATCGATTTACCCTTTCGGGAGTTCAGTCGCATCAGCCACTGTAAGCTCTAACCAAAGACAGACGCCGCTTCAGCCTTTTTCTGCCCAAAACTTCCATAATCCATTGCAGTCGTATGGAAACCCTGTAGCAACTGCGCAAAGAACCATGGACAGACCTGTTATGACCGCGGGGCTTCTAAATGGCAGTCGGGTTCCAATCGCTTTGGAACAGCATGGCCAGCAAAAGGGTGTTGATAATAGCTTATTTCCTTCAATGCCAGCTCTCGAATCACTGAATGCTGCTGCTGATGGTAAATGTGGCCAAACAGATCGAGACAGTGACAGTGATGATGACATTCAAGTGATCACCGTTGACGTGAACTCGAACGAAACTCACAAGAGGGCTGTTCAGGCGTTAGTTTCAATGTTTTTTGGACTACTCCTTACGTTAAAAGTATTCAGCTTTTTGTTCTTTGTAACCTGATGAAATGAAAAGAGAGTTTTTTGCAATATGATATGAAAATTTGCGAGAGCATGTGCATTTAAAATGTAAACTCATTTTTGTGCCGTAAACATCTTTTGTTGCAGATTCTAAGAAGTAGCGACTGCAAGAAGTGTCATCCTCAATTTCATAATTTTATAATTAATAACCTTTTTAAGTTAAGCATATGTATATAATTTGAAAAATGAAAAAATCTGAAAGTATTGGATTGAAAAAAAAATTTGGCTTCATTTTGATTTCTCGTTTTAATTTTCATAGGCTCCTATTCGTTTTTTATGGTGTCAATTGTTTTACCTAGAAGAGCATGCAAATTAGACTATACAGTTATATTGCTAGCTAAATTTAAGCTAGCTAAATTTTAACTGCCAATTTTTAACTAGCGGATTCCGAAAGTTATTCGTGTTTTGAGGTTTCAAACCTTTCCTAATTGAAATCGAATCCGATTTTGGAAAATTGGTTTCTCGTTAGTATTAGTTTTTAAATCAGTTCCAATTATTCTGTATCGCAAAGCAAGTTTTTTTTCCAATAACGGTGTCTTTTTTTGTTCCGACCATTGAAAATGGGGAGGAACTTTGTATTCGGGTGTGTTTTCGTTTTTTCTTATTTTCCACGCAAAATCATGTACCGCAAATAATAATCGGTCTGGGTTGAGTTATATATCATATTAAAGCCCTTACAGTCGTAATTCAAACCACATTAAAAATTTTAAAAAATTTTTCCCCTGTGTCGAGAAAAACCGGTTTAAAATTTTTGATTTTTCGACTTATTTCGAGCGAATAAAGCAAGCAAGCAGTCTTGTTTTAATTGCTTAAAAGCTTACTATAGCTTAATTTAAAACGTAAAAATTTAGTTTTACTTGAGTAATGTTAGTTTACTTTGAATATTTCAGCGCCTTTTTGGAATCTTAGTTTTCAAAAATTCAGAAAACTGCAAAAATTTTTAGAAATGTTTTCTACACAAATTGTTTTTCAATTTGATTATTTTACTATGACAGTAGACTATATCCAATCTCCAGTTTTTATTCAGTTTCTTTTATTGCACCACGCCGAAAAAGTATTGCGAAGCTCCGCTTTGCCTCTGTGTTAACTGAACGTGATTTTTTTTAGCTTGAAGAACTTGAAAAATCCAAGGTGAAGATGAATCTGTTGGTTTAAAAAGAAAAGAATTTCTATAAAGTGAATGTAAATTGCTTTTTGGTTGTTAATTTGTTAATTTAAATGGTAAAAATTTGGGTTGTTGTTCTAGTCGGTGTCACCCTAGTGATAACCACATCAGCTTGAGTGCTTCTACTGTGAAGAATACTTTGACTTCAAGCAGCAGCGAAAAGAATGAAACCACATCAATGGCAACATCCAAACAACTTTCGTCTCCCCTTGTGCAGCCTCAAGTGCCGAATCAGGTGGAGCATGAGAGATGTAAATCGACATCCAAACCTACTCCTAGTTCTCTGCCAGTAAAAGAAAATGAGATGAAGACGAGTTTGTTCGTGGAAGAGGAGAAGTCGCTACCTGCTCGTGGTCCTGTTGCCCCTCTCGTGGACTTAGTAGAGGAAGAGGAAATGGTGTCTCAACATGAAGCCAACGGGGAAACAAACAAGCTGGATGACACCCATAACAAGAAAAGTGGTGCGTCATGACATTTATTTATATTTCTCTAATTTACAAGAGGTGCTCAAAGGATTTTCAATCCCGTAAGCAATTTCTCTCAAATCATAGACGGATGCAATAAAATAGGGTATCCAGGTTTTTTCCACCAGTTTTGGGTTCAATATTCTGTCGCGTATGTTTTAGAGTCGTTGTCGCTGACTAATGTTCCAGTCGTAAGTGAATCAAAAACACATGCTACTGTTGACCGAAACACTCCTAATGACACTACAGATACTCTTCCGCCGAAGTATACCTGTAATTTGAAACCTATGACATGCGATGTTTCGACAGAAGCCGCAGCAACATCTGTTAATGTTCAAAGTGAACAGTGTGCTAGCCCAGCAAAGTCAGCACAAACAAGTGCAGTTGGCGACAGTGTAGAAAAAGAGGCCGAGGTGGTTGCTGCTACTCAAGGTGCGATAGATGAGAGAAGTAGTGATGCGGGTGATCTAATCTGTGAAGCGTGTGGCTGCACGGTCACATTTGAGACACACCCCACCTACTGTGCAAAGCATAACAGTGAAAACAGTAGACTCGTCATCTACTGCTCAAGGCAGTGTCGCTCAACATATGAGGTAAATAGAAAAAGATTTCACATCAAAAATTTTAAGCTGCGCATGTGCAGAATTTCTTGTTTGATAAAGGGCATTATAAAAATGTATGGGATCGGGTTTTTTTGAGACGCTTTGGAAAAATATAACTTTATCAAAATTTAGTTTTTCTCACGAACTGCTCAACCGATTTTCTTTTCAAAAAAAGTGGTACCAATGAGAAATCCGCCCACTCCCCTGTATGTCTGCGCAATTCCTTAGGGTCTCTTTACTTACCCCATTTTTAAAGCCTTCAAAAAATAATGGGGGGGGGGGGGGGGGCTTTTGACCCATATTTTTGGATTTTTATATTTTCTCGAAAACTGCCCTCTCGAATCTGAGATTTTGGGTTCAATGGATAGAACAGGTAATGGAAAGCTCCCCTGCATTTACACAAAATTATGGCCGTCAGAAAAGTCTAGTTTTCGATTTTTGACCGTTTTTTCGAACTTTTGCCTTGTCTCAAAAACTAGCCTACCAAATCTAAGCTTTACTTTTATTGTGTAAAACAGGTTGTGGAAAGTTCCCTTGCATAAGCCGTTACGCCCAATTTTGTTTAAACAAAAAGTTATGATCCTCGGAAAAGTCAACTTTCAGATTTTTTGACCGTTTTTTGAATCTCAGGTTTTGGTTTCAATGGGTAGAACGTGTTGAGGGAAGCCCCACTGCATCCAAAGTTTTGTCCAAATCTTTTTTACACAAAAAGTTGTGACCCTCGGAAAATTCGAAAACAACTCAATCTGATATCAAAGGTTTAATCGATGCAAGAGGTTGTGCGAAGCCTCAGTGCATAAGATCCTACGCCCTAAAGTTTGTTCAAAAACTATTGTCTCTGGGAATGTTCAAAAATCAAAAAAAATCAAATTCCAAAATATTAGAGCAGCAATTAGTTTTTGGGTGAAGTCCAAAGTATAAGTTATTGAAATTACCTATTTCATCCCACATCAGAACACAAATTCAAAAATTAACAAACAGGTATCTCCAGGTTTAGCGGGGCCTCTAGTTGTAGAGCGCGGTATGTGGTGTGAGGCGATAATTTGTAATCGGGTGTGTTTTAGTTTCTTTTTCGCGCACAATCACAAGATATGGCGGTTTGTAGATGTGGCGCTTTTTTGAGCATGCGTCTAATCATCATATTGGGTTCAGTGAAATATCATAAGTTCCTGGTATCAAAATAAGAGAATTCAAAAAATTATGAAAAGATATTGAAATAAGAGCTCAGAAAACTAGTTTTTGAATCCTCATCTAGCGCTTTACTCGCACTAAAAGTTTGAAAAAAATTCTATGTGGAAAAAACTGAGTATAGGCTATTATTACACATGTGCAGCGTAGTAGGATGTTACAAGGCTAATTTTTTCCAACCTCAATTGAAAATGTTAGTGCTCTCTTTGGCGGCACTTAACAGCAGAAAGTTGAATTGGCTATGTAATACCCTGTGCGTTTATATTTCATTCATAAGTTGACACTGCTGATACGTTTTTAATTCATAAAATGAACCGAAGAGTGCTGGTTATTTCATACAACAATACAATTCTAAAAACTCCTCAGAACTTCTCCGACTCATTGTTTTTCTCCCAAATTTTTGAGATGCTTAATCTATACACAATTTAGCTTTTTACTTTCCAATTTATTACACGCGAAGTTTGTGTGGTTGCCTTTAGTTTTTTACATGACAATTTTTGGTATGCAATTTTTTTTGTGCAATTTGAAGCTCTCTGCCACTTTCTTGCTTGCCTTTGGATTCTATAAGCGTCAGTGGCACAATTGTGTAGTGCAGTCAACTGGTAAACTTGAATGTCCGATGACACTTTCAACTACCGTAGAGGGTATTGATTTTTCATTTTTCTCTTTTATGACCCTTTTCCCCCTTGCGAGAAGCAAGGTTATTGCAATAGGGTGTGGGACTTTTTTCCCGTAAACAACTTTGTCCACACTTCTAGAGAAGGAATTCCTCTTGTTGAGGGTCTTCACTTCTAGATGATTTTCACTTCTAGAGGATCTTCTGGTTTCAGATTGTAATTAACTTTTCAAGTTTCAGGTTGCAATTATATTTTCAAAAAAAATGTCTCATTTTTTTCGGGTTCTTGGTTTTCTTTCTAGTTTCAGTCGGTTTGAATTGGTTTATTTTTTAAAGCATGGGTTTAATTTAAATTTGAAAAATTTTTACTGCAACTGAAACTTCAACAAGTTAGTAATTTTACCATGTCTGATTTTGAGTATTTTTTTTTTCATTTTTTTATTTGTTATTTTTTAAATATTCAAGCAGTTTCAGTTTATGTTATATCAATTTAGTCAACTTATTTTGCGGGATTTCGAGGGCAAAATATATCTGTTTGGGATTATGTGTTTCAGTTTGGATGGGTCGTATAAACTTTTAAATTTCATGGTGTTTTTTATGACGACAGTTTTGTTTTCGGCTCAATTTTGTCTCCTTTGTTGGCGCTCGGTAAATAATTTCAATTTTGTCAAATGATTTTCCAAGTAATTTTTCCAATATAACTTTTTAGAATTATTTTTTGATTTCTGGCTTTTTTTCATTCACTATTTTGTAGCGCAATGTGTTTTTGCATCGCAAGTGTTGCGAAGCACTAATTGAAAGTATTAAGAGCTTAAGTCTAGTGCGAGCGAAAAGTTTCATCAAGGAAAATCTTGTCTTCCTGTATTGTTGAGTTTTAAATTCATAATAAGGACTATTGTGTAAAGGACTATGGAGCGCAATGATTAAGAGCGATCATTGAGAAACAGCAACCTCCGTGCTCGGAAAAACTAATTGCAAGCAAACCGATTTGCGTCATGAAGTAGCGTGAAATAGTTCAATATTTCGAAGCTTGAATAGCTTGGTTAGAAAAACTTCAATTTTTGGCAAACTGATTTGCTCAATGAAAAATTTTGAAACTTTTCTTAGTTGCAAAGCGTGAATACCTTGCTCAGGATAACTTAAGTCTTTGCAAACCGAAGCGATCTATATATTGATTTGAAATATATCAAAGTTTCATCGCTTGAATTGTTGTCATAGGAAAATTGAAATATTTCTTAACATGTTTCTGTCTAAGAAACAAATGGTTTTTGAATAAGTTTGATCGCATGAGTGACTTCAATATAAAAAAAATTATTTTTCGCCATCCGGTTTTCTTTACGAAGTAATTTCGAAACACTTCAAATTTCTACATCTTGATCAGCGTGATTCCAAAAAGTGATATTTTCCGGAATTGATTCACTTTTTGAAGGAAATTGAATTACTTCGATTTCTGATTGTCGCTTGAATGGCTTTAATAGAAAAACTTTAATTTTTCGCCAAACGACTTGTTTTTTTTTTTACAAATGTTCATAATTTGAGTAGCTTAGAAAAACGTTATTTTTGGATAACGATTCCGTCTATAACATAACTTGAAATATTTGAATTTTTATTGGCTGGAATAGCTTGCTAAAAAAATCAAATCATATGTGATCAATGCTGATTGAAATTTTTTTTTTGCAAGATTGCCATTCGCCTCCTGACTTCGCTTTTCTCGCAAAATTTTTCCAAAAAAAAACGCTCTTTTTTGAGTTATAAAGTCATATCATTACCTTAAGATTAGCTTAACGCTAATTGTAAGCGTTATCAAAACGAAATATGGACTTTTTTGTCAGGTTAGCATTTTTTTACACAGAATCATTTGGTATCTTGGCTCACAATAAATTCAGATTTTTAAGCTTCTCCGGCATTCTCTGTCTGAGGTAACGAACAGGCCTCGGACAGCAAAGTGCTCGAATCTGACAAGGAGATGTTTTCTATTTCATCCCACATATTTCATCCCACATCAGAACACAAAATTTAAAATTAACAAACAGGTATCTCCAGGTTTAGCGGGGCTTCTAGTTTTAGAGCGCGGTATGTGGTGTGAGGCGATAATTTGTAATCGGGTGTGTTTTAGTTTCTTTTTCGCGCACAATCACAAGATATGGCGGTTTGTAGATGTGGCGCTTTTTTGAGCATGCGTCTAATCATCATATTGGGTTCAGTGAAATATCATAAGTCGTGGTTCGATCAAAATAAGAGAATTCAAAAAATTATGAAAAGATATTGAAATAAGAGCTCAGAAAACTAGTTTTTGAATCCTCATCTAGCGCTTTACTCGCACTAAAAGTTTGAAAAAAAAATTCTATGTGGAAAAAATTGAGTAGAGGCTATTATTACACATGTGCAGCGTAGTAGGATGTTACAAGGATAATTTTTTTCCAACCTCAATTGCAAATGTTAGTGCTCTCTTTGGTGGCACTTAACGGCAGAAAGTTGAATTGGTTATGTAATACCATGTGCGTTTATATTTCATTCATAAGTTGACACTGATGATACGTTTTTAATTCGTAAAATGAACCGAAGAGAGCTAGTTATTTCATACAACAATACAATTCTAAAAACTCCTCAGAACTTCTCCGACTCATTGTTTTTCTCCCAAATTTTTGAGATGCTTAATCTATACACAATTTAGCTTTTTACTTTCCAATTTATTACACGCGAAGTTTGTGTGGTTGCCTTTAGTTTTTTACATGACAATTTTTGGTATGAAATTTTTTTTGTGCAAGTTGAAGCTCTCTTTTGCCACTTTCTTGCTTGCCTTTGGATTCTATAAGCGTCAGTGGCACAATTGTGTAGTGCAGTCAACTGGTAAACTTGAATGTCCGATGACACTTTCAACTACCGTAGAGGGTATTGATTTTTCATTTTTCTCTTTTATGACCCTTTTCCCCCTTGCGATAAGCAAGGTTATTGCAATAGAGTGTGGGACTTTTTTTCCCGTAAACAACTTTGTCCACACTTCTAGAGAAGGAATTCCTCTTGAGGGTCTTCACTTCTAGATGATCTTCACTTCTAGAGGATCTTCTGGTTTTAGATTGTAATTAACTTTTCAAGTTTCAGGTTGCAATTATCTTTTCAAAAAATTGTCTCATTTTTTTCGGGTTTTTGGTTTTCTTCCTAGTTTCAGTCGGTTTGAATTGGTTTATTTTTTAAAGCATGGGTTTAATTTAAATTTCAACAATTTTTACTGAAACTTCAACAAATTAGTAATTTTACCATGTCTGATTTGAGTATTTTTCATTAATTTTTGTTTTTTAAATATTCAAGCAGTTTCAGTTTACGTTATATCAATTTAGTCAACTTATTTTGCGGAATTTCGAGGGCAAAATATATCTGTTTGGGATTGTGTGTTTCAGTTTGGATGGGTCGTATAAACTTTTAAATTTCTTGGTGTTTTTTATGACGACAGTTTTTTGTTTTCGGCTCAATTTTGTCTCCTTTGTTGGCGCTCGGTAAATAATTTCAATTTTGTCAAATGATTTTCCAAGTAATTTTTCCAATATAACTTTTTGGAATTATTTTTTGATTTCTGGCTTTTTTTATTCACTATTTTGTAGCGCAACGTGTTTTTGCATCGAAGCCCTAATTGTTGAAGCATTGAAGCAAAGTGTTGCGAAGCACTAATTGAAAGTATTAAGAGCTTTAGTCTAGTGCGAGCGAAAAGTTTCATCAAGGAAAATCATGTCTTCCTGTATTGTTGAGTTTTAAATTCATAATAAGGACTATTGTGTAAGGGACTATGGAGCGCAATGATTAAGAGCGATCATTGATAAACAGCAACCTCCGTGCTCGGAAAAACTAATTGCAAGCAAACCGATTTGCGTTATGAAATAGCGTGAAACAGTTCAATATTTCGAAGCTTGAATAGCTTGGTTAGAAAAACTTCAACTTTTGGCAAACTGATTTGCTCAATGAAATATTTTGAAACATTTCTAAGTTGCATTGTTGGTGTACCTCCTTGGTGTACCTCCGTTATCATGATTGGTTCTCTCCATTTCATAAGTAGTTTCTTTGTCCCTTTGGGCGGTATGACGTTCTGGAAGACCCACACGTACTGGCCCACTTCATATGGCTTCGCCTGTAATATCTTTTCATCATATTTCTTGCGCTGTCTCATTTGTGCTTGCGCAGTGTTCCTCGTGCAGAGCTCGTTTAGTTCCTGTTGTCTCCTGATCGCTTCTTTCACGTAAGCTTGAGGCGACGTCCTCTTACCTTCGTATTCCGGGTAAAAGAATGTCAGAGGCATTGCTCTCTCCCTGCCCGTCAACATCATGAAAGGACTGATGCCCGTTATTGAGTGTTGCGTACTGTTGTACGCCCCTACGACTTGCGGCAGATATTTATCCCAGTCCGTCATGTATCTTGAGCAGTATACCCTCAGCATGTTCACCAACGTTCTATTCTGTCTCTCTACCAGCCCGTTTGTCTGTGTTTTTGCATCGAAGCACTAATTGTTGAAGCATTGAAGCAAAGTGTTGCGAAGCACTAATTGAAAGTATTAAGAGCTTTAGTCTAGTGCGAGCGAAAAGTTTCATCAAGGAAAATCATGTCTTCCTGTATTGTTGAGTTTTAAATTCATAATAAGGACTATTGTGTAGGGGACTATGGAGCGCAATGATTAAGAGCGATCATTGATAAACAGCAACCTCCGTGCTCGGAAAAACTAATTGCAAGCAAACCGATTTGCGTTACGAAATAGCGTGAAATAGTTCAATATTTCGAAGCTTGAATAGCTTGGTTAGAAAAGCTTCAACTTTTGGCAAACTGATTTGCTCAATGAAATTTTTGGAAAAATTTCTAAGTTGCATAGCTTGAATATCTTGCTCAGGATAACTTAAGTCTTTGCAAACCGAAGCGATCTATATATTGATTTGAAATATATCAAAGTTTCATCGCTTGAATTGTTGTCATAGGAAAATTGCAATATTTCTTAACATGTTTCTGTCTAAGAAACAAATGGTTTTTGAATAAGTTTGATCGCTTGAGTGACTTCAATATAAAAACTTATTTTTCGCCATCCGGTTTTCTTTACGAAGTAATTTCGAAACACTTCAAATTTCTACATCTTGAACAGCGTGATTCCAAAAAGTGATTTTTTTCCGGAATTGATTCACTTTTTGAAGGAAATTGAATTACTTCGATTTCTGATTGTCGCTTGAATGGCTTTAATAGAAGAACTTTAATTTTTCGCCAACTGACTTGTTTTTTACAAATGTTCATAATTTGAGTAGCTTAGGAAAACGTTATTTTTGTAACACGATTCCGTATATAACATAACTTGAAATATTTGAATTTTTATTGGCTGGAATAGCTTGCTAAAAAAAATCAAATCATATGTGGTCAGTGCTGATTGAAATTACTTTTTTGCAAGACTGCCATTCGCCTCCTGACTTCGCTTTTCTCGCAAAATTTTTCCAAAAAAACGCTCTTTTTTGAGTTATAAAGTCATATCATTACCTTAAGATTAGCTTAACGCTAATTGTAAGCGTTATCAAAACGAAATATGGACTTTTTTGTCAGGTTAACAATTTTTTACACAGAATCATTTGGTATCTTGGCTCACAATAAATTCAGATTTTTAAGCTTCTCCGGCATTCTCTGTCTGAGGTAACGAACCGGCCTGGGACAGCAAAGTGTTCGAATCTGACAAGGAGATGTTTTCTTTTCAAACGGGAAAGATTCCGTATCAAAAACGTGACGGCTTTTTCTTTATCTTCTCATGATTTGTCCGCTTAGTTGCCGCATCTTACAATTTTTTGATGTATTTCTTTCTGCAATTTGTTATTTTACTAGCCTTGACTTCGTATATTTTCCTTTTTTGTTTTTGATTTCGACCTCAATGATTTCGGCCTATTTTTAATCGGCTTTCTAACCAAAATTTGGGTCTTTCAAGGGAACCATAATTTGTATGCTTTCCTCCGGGCTGCCCAAAACATTAAAAATCCAAATGAGAATTTATAGTTCAAAGTTCTTCATGACATATTTTTGGTAATTGTTTTTGAGTTTTCTTTAAATGTCATCGAATGTGTTTTTGAACGTGTTTCGCTCAAGTAAAACATCATTCCAGGCATTGTTTTGAAGTTTTTTTAGTTGTGGTTTCTTCGAAAGAAAAAACTTGTTTTCTTTTGACTTAGTGGCTCTCCTTTCCTTTTCTGTGCTAGCTTGCAATGCCATTTTTATGGTATCGAAGTGATGCGAAGCTCCGCTTTGCCTCCGTGTTTCACTGTTTCCTCGCTTGATTAGCTTGCTTAAGAAGTTTTTAGCGAATCGATTCAGTCTATGAAATAGATCAAAGTTTCATCGCTCGAAAAGATTGCATATAAAACTTTGACTTATTGCAAACAGCTTTGGCCAATGGAATACCTGTTCCTCAACTGCCATCACGGCGCTAGTTCCAAAAAATATATACGACAAATTTTTTCAATTTTGTTTTGTTATTGATCGTTCAATGAAAACTCGTGAATCGAAGCCCTTTATAGTGTTCTAAGCGTTCTTCTAGTTCCTTTTCAGACTATACACAAAAAAAACGGCGGAAATTTGAAAAAGACTATACAAATTTGAAAATGTGCTTTGTGATTTATAGCAGCAGTGGGTGGAAAAGAAGCGCTGCAACAACTGCACTCAGCTGAAGCCAGTGGGTCAGGAGGTGCGAGTGGCAGGCAAGACAAGTATCACCGTCTGCTCCTCACTCTGCTACGAACTGTACAAACAGAGATACTTGTCCAACTGCGGTGTCACTCTGGCTAACTGTGCATTCTGTGGTAAATGTTTCCTCGACAAAGGCAAAGGCCAGTCTTCTGCCGCTGCGACTGTCAACAACGACGACGCACCTTGCACCTCTTCAAGAGACAGACAGCAGTTTTGTGCAGAAAAGTGCAAGAGTCAGTTCAAAAAGAGACTAAGAGACCAAAACAGATGTGGCGCGTGCATGAAGAGGTCATCAACTCCACATCAAAATTCTAAGAAATCCTACAGCTACGGTGGAGGAGAAGGCGTGGACATATTCTGGAAGGGGGAGCCGAAGCATTTCTGCGACAGAAAGTGTCTCCTCATATTCTACCAGCATGCCAACTCGATCAACATGTTCCCAGTTGAGAATCCAACCAACCGGAAACGAACTGCTGAGAACAACTACAGCAGCACAGAGGCGCAAGAGATAGCCTCCAAGTCGAAGAAGGTCTACAGAGACAGAGGGCAAATACTTGCACCATTTAAAACTGTGGTACGTCCTCGAAGACTGGCGACCCGAAATGTTGGCTTGATGTGTCAAGTACCCACTTGTGAAAAGAGTGTGCAGAAAGAACCATCAGTGTCTCACAAATCAACTGCAACAGAAGTACAAAACGATTTAGGAAGAGAAACAGATAAAATTTTTGTTCCAGTGCCTATGATTGTGTTCGTGCCTATTCCTAGTAACTACCTTTGTACGAATCGAAGTATACCTGATAATGGAAAAGGCAACGGAAATTCTCCTGCAGAAATATCTGGGTCTCAAAATCAGTGCAGTCGGATTACTAATAGTGGCAGTAGTGGAGCAACAGCTGATCAAAGGCCTCGTTCACCCAGGTGCAGTGAGCCAAAAAAGAAAGCAAATGGCAATCGGCAACTGTGTCTGGCTGACCAGATTAACTCAATAGCTCAAGCAGTAGTAGAGAAAACCAGAAAAGAGTTGAAATTGACAGAAGAAAGAATGGTAAGCGAACTTCAGGATGAAAAATTGGCCGCTGCGATTGCGTGTGCTTTTCAAACCGTGGACGGGACTAAAAGTGTTGATGCAACAGGAGCGAAAACCAGAGAACTTCAGAGATTTCAAACCAAACAAATTCAGTCAGAATCACACCTCACGCTCGCTAAAATCAAAGCAAAGGCAGCCCTGGAAGCCAACAGTCGAACCAAATCACCCAAAAAGAAGTCACTCAAAGATGTCTTGAGTGCTAAAAAGCTGAAGAAATTAAAAACGATCCAAGATACACCTTCGAAAAGTGATGCTCGAAAGTGCGCTGAAAAGTTTAAAATAAAAAAAGAGAAATCTAAAGCAGAAGATAAGAAAATCAGATCGTCATCTAAGGAGAATTCGACTGCTTCAAGTTTCACGGATGAGTTCGTCAATCCCATCACAGCAGAAAATTTGACCTTCAATTTTTTCGAGGATTTCGGAGATTTAGCTCAAAGCGCAGTTTTGCCTCCGAAACTGAGAGTGAAACTTGAATGCCTGAGGCAACTGTTCAGCTGTGGCAGTGACATTGAGAAGGCGATGAGAAGTTTCGGGATTGGAGATGGGAAAGAAAAGGAGGAAAATGTCGAAGAAATAAGGAGGGGTGGGAATGGATGCCTGAATAGTGGTGCTAGTGGCAGCAGTGGTGTCAGTTTGACAGCAGACTCTCATGACGACTCCAGCCACTGTAATTCGAACTCTTCTGATGATGAATCAAGTTCACTCGCCTCAATCAGAAGCATGCAGAAAGAGAAGAGGAGAGACACAAGCGAGGAAGCAGTGATTCCCCATACAACTCACAAAAGTAGAAGGTCAATTAGAGTTGCATTCAATTCAGACGATCTTTCGGATATTCTTTAATGGGCGATAACATGTTTTTCGACCGTTTTTGATTTTTTCGTGGAGTTGTAAAAGCAACAATTCTCCGCATGACAATTTACATAAATTGAATTATTAGTTCGATATATATTGGTTTTATATGAATTAGCAATGAGCATAATTTGAGTGTCATGGATTTGATATGGACGAATGTTTCACATAGTTGCTAAGTTACTAAAACTGATTAAACAGTAGACCCGTAGCTTTGCTTTATAGTAAGAAGTGCGATGGTCGCGATTAAACGTCATTAATTAAGTGAGGATGAACATGGTTCAGACCTCCATTGAAGTCTTGCCGTTTTTTGTTCATAGTCTTAATTTTGTTCATAAATTTTTCGAATTAGTGAATTTAATTTCAAGTTTTAGAAAACGAACATGTAATCGTTTCTAGTTTAGACGGTGCATTTGAGCGCTTTCTTGTTTTTAACGTTGTTTTGAATGTAAATTAGTAGGTTACACGTGTTTACACAAGCAAAGCTTGTGTTATAGTATGAACTCTTTTTTCCAACATAAGTCGCTAATATTGTTGCTACACAAATATTGTTGCGACAAAATGTGCCCAGCTATTAAGGAGGGTCGGATGTTTTAAATGATTTTTTTTTCGTATGCTAGTTAAAATGCGCCTGCTCTATAAATTGAGGCATGTTAGTGGTAAATTTTTTTTTTTTCATATTGACTGGTACTGCACATGCGCCATAATTGGTTTGCGTCAATTAACAATTATTTAGACTCATAATTGGCGTGCGTCATATAAGAAATTTGGTAGACTCAAAGTTTTGCACATTCAGTTTTCCCAGTAGCTATATCGGTCATATTTTTCCGTGTGTATGCGAAGTGCAACTTCGCCTTTGTGTAGTTAATTCAGTTTTGCATTTTTTTTCAATTTTGTATTTGCTGTGTTCTGGTTTTCAATTTCTTTCCCTGACTTTTCCTGATTCCATATGAAAAATTAAAGTCATCTTAGATGGTTGTCATTTTTCAAATTGGCATATAACGTTCGGCCTCAATTTGCAGTTGCAAAATAAATAAAGAAAAAAAGGGGTGGTATGGTTCCTAGTCATAAAACGAATCGTTTAAGTGTCGGCTGAAGATAAGGGCTATGACTGTCGGCGGCAAGGGTGGTTTAGGATGAGGCTCTCATTGTCGCGAATCTTCGTTTACTTAGTCATTGCATTAGTCCGGTCTAACATGCGCTAGTATAATGGCTGGTATTGATACAAGTTTTTCTCTTGTTTTGACGGTGTAATTGCGTGTCTAGTCATATCGGTTGATTTGTTTCCTGTGGTCCATCCAATTGGCCAGAGTCCTCGTGGCGTCATATCCTGAAAAATCCAAACAGTTTCTCCTATTTTGATAGGCGTCGTCTTTTTTTCTATCGTTGTCGCGGCAGTAGTGTTGGGATAAACTCCATGATCAGGCGTTTTCAAATATGAGTTGCGAGTTGTTGGGCGGTTTTCCATTGTCGTCTGAGTGTTGAGGGTTATTGGATTTGTAGAAGTGGTATGAGCTCTCCCGAGAAGTGATGGGCCGTGCGTTCATGAAGTGTCCAACTTCCTAAAGAACGGGGTTGAATGTGTCGTTTGAATCTTGCTTCCAATGATGGCATAGAAAAAGCCTTTCACTGATTTTGAGTCGTTCCCATACAACTCCAAAATGAAGAGCATAAGCAAGGTTGAAGCTTGAAGTAGAACTGATGGTTGGTGTAGAACTCATGTTGTAATATCGGCGGCGAAGTATCTGAGTTCTCTTTCGGCTGCGGTGAAATTTGTACCGTTGTCAGAAACAATTTTTGCTGGTTTTTCTTTACTTGCGAAGAATCGTCCTAAGGTAGTGAGGAATGTATGGCTCGTGTTATTAGGCATTATAACGCCGTAGCGTTTTTTGTAGCTCCTGCGGTTTTCGAACCGAGCGGTCGAAAGAGATATAATCATGATTGAAACGGAAAGGGTTTATCTTCCGGAAATCGAAAGGCAGGTAGTGTTACAAGTTCCGGCTGTTGTCCAAATGTTTTATGTCTTTGGCAGTCTTAACAGTTTTTTATGACACTGTCAATCTGTGCGCCAACCCAGAGAATCCAAAATTCGTTTGGCGAGGCGAATGCGGGTTGTCGTGGGTTTGTCGTATGAAGAGGTGAACTGCTGAGTGGTTTCCGTCGAGCATAAATAGGCGTTTTATGCAATAGTCGAATTTAGATTTCTCGAGGCGTCCACGTGCTCGCAAAAATCCGTCTTCGTCTGGAAATGGTGACAGATGTCGAAGTCTGCTAGTGGTCTTGGTTGGTTTATTTCGTGTCAATGCGTTGACCTCTTGGTTGAAGCTGTCTCGTTGCGTCTGCTTGAAGATAAAATTCTTTGCGGAATTTATGTTGTTGCTTATCAGTTCAGTATTTGGTTTTTCGTTGCGGGAGTGTAGTTCTTTATCTTTGAAGATCCTAACGGCACGCATCACGTATGCGGTTGTTTGGACAACTCTCGTCCAATATGAGAATCTACCGTAGTCAATGAAACTTTGCACTATCGTTTCTGAAAAGCTAGCACTGGTGTTGTTTATGTTTCATCTCTTTGCCCGATTCAATCGTTGAGTTGCAGTATCGAAGTATCCGTGTTCGCGTGGTTTAAATGTAGCTATGGACATATGTTTTCTTGTTCACATTTAAATTGTGGTCCGGTGAATCATCTTGGTTGTTACTGATTTCCGATAGATATACTAATGGGTTCCGTCCTCTGCTGGGTATAGGGGTTTTAGGCAATGTTTCTTTTGACTCGTTTGGGTGCTTTCCAAAATTTTTGCAACTGTGAGCCACAAATTTTGTTGTCGTTCAGCAGATTCCTGTATCCACTGAAGCGCTGTTGTGCTGTCGGTCACATATGTGTAGAGCTGATGTCAATTCTTTGTTCTTTCCCAATGAATTTTGCGAGGTGAGCAGTATAAACTGCGGCTTTTTGTTCCAATTTAATTGTGCTGTTTTAGGGGAGCCACTCGAGCTTTTCCTTGAACAAATGAGATGCTGATTTTCCGAGTGGTACTGTTGCTGTACCCAAATTAATTGACTGCTGCTAAGGCGCTGTAGGAGGCATCTAAAAAACATAAAGAGCGATGTTGCGGTAGCTGTATTCAAAGTAGTTTCGAGGTATTTTCAGTCTGTAGGCCGTTTCTGTCGTCGAGAAGCTCGATAAGTTCAGGAATCAATTCTCATGTAATTTGGTCGTCAAACTTCACTCTTTCTCTCCAAATTGCTTGCTGTAATATTCGAAGCTTCTATTCCTATTGGGTCAAAGATAGACGAGGCTGTGGGAAGTAGGTTCTGTTGTGTCGGTTTCTTTCGGACGAGGTCGTGTAGTTTCTCAGTGTTAAAGCTGAGTGTATCGTTACTTTCCATCGTATTCCTAGAATTCGCTGGAATAGTTCGGGGTCCTTGATTTGGTCTAGGGTGATGGATCTGTGTTCTTTTGGTATTGTTTGCAATTTTTCTATGATCTGTGGTTATCTTTTTCGTCAGGTTGAAGCTTCCTTGTTGTAGTACGTGTCGAAGCTCTTCTATGATTTTCACTGCGGTTCCGATGTTCTCGCTGGCTTCGAAGAAGTCGTCCAAGTAGAAGTTCTCGTAAACAAGTTTTCCGCTATGGCAATAGTTTTAAGCATTGTCTTCTGCACAGGTTCTCAATACGTAAAATTGTGCAAAGTAGGAGAACAATTGGCTTCAAAGACGAATCGAGTGTACTCGAAAATTCGGGTTCTTCAGCTCCGCAGAGATAACGAAGAATTTTTCTGTCTCCGGGGTTAACAGAAACCTGCATGTACATCCCTTCAATGTCAGCAGTGATGAAGTGCTTTCCTTCGCGAAAACGGTTAATTACTCCTATTAGGTTGGGGAGCAAGTCAGGTCCAGTGAAAAGCATACAATTTAGGCAAACTCCTTCAAGTTTATTTTTGGCATTGGAAACACGGCGAAGTTTTTCTGGCTTGTTTGGGTTGATTACGCCAGGATCTGTTAGAATCCATCTTGTCGAATCCGTCTCGCATTAATTTCCCTATGTAGTGCCTGCTGAGATCCTTGTCAATTGTATCCTGGTGGAAGGCGAAGTTTTCCGAATTCTTGTTAAATTTTATTTTCATCCGGTGGTATTGGGCAATTGCTGCTTTATAGTGGTCGTGTTTGCTACTGATGTTGCTCAACCTTTCGGGCTCCGCTGCTTTCAAGTGCTCTTTGATTAGAACATTATTTAGTTCAATTGCAAGTGTTTTTTCCAAATAAATGAACTGTAATATCCTTTGTCTTAGCGTCTCTCTTTTGCGAGTTGAAGAAACCTATGAGAAGTTGTTCCTGATGGTTAGTTTCCTCCAGTTGAAGATATGCTGCTGTAGGTTGCGATATGTAGCTGTTTGTGCTTCCTGTATCAAGAAAGGCATATCCATTAAGGTAAATGTTGCGGTGCCTTTATGCGAGTGGTGAAAGTAGCAATAGTGAGCTGTTGATCCTGAATATCTTCTTTTTGCTGGTGAGATGGTTGATTTGATTCGGTCGCTTATTTGGATTTAACTTTGGTGGTCGTCGTGTGCAGTTGTATGATAATGCTGATTGCATTTGCTGCATGTGTGCTTTGATGGGCAATCTTTCACTTGATGTTGCCAAAGCAATTGTAACAGTTTCTTTTCCGAAACGGGTCTCTTCCTAAGGTGAATTCTGATACTTGCTTCAGTATACTGGGCGGTGAATCTATCCGTCGAATGGACATGGGGACCAGGTGTTCGCATTCGAGTTTTGACAAGTCTTCTGGGAAGGCTGGTTGGTTGATGGTCGAGATCCGTTGGCGTGTCGAGGTCTTGGCGCTATTTGTTGTCGATCACTCGAATCCATGTTCATTTGCACTTGTCGTTGCAGCTGTCGTAGATGTCGTATCCGGTCGTTAGTTAGACCTACTTTGTCAGTTCCTGTCCTCGGTAGCTAGACCTAAACTTAAAGGGAACGAAGATAAAAGAACAATGTTGCGGTAAATACATTTTCAACTAAGTCTAACGAAATCAAATAAGTAATTGGAAGTTACAAATGCTTGATAGTAGATCGTTCCGAAACTTAAACAGGCGAAAAATAATTTTAACCAAACGTAAAGTTTACGTCCCTTTACCAAAGTTAAGCTATAGTCGTCACAATTGTGTTTGTTTTTCAACCGAGTTTTGGTTTTTTTATCCTAAGCAACTGCTTCTTGAGTGTTCTAAGCAAATGAGTGTTCCTTGATTGGCACTAAAAACAAAATTGTGCTTCCAGCTTGATCAAAGGTTAGAGCTAAGGAGTGGTTTCTGGCCGTTTAGTTGTGCCATATAGAAAACTAATGTGTAATCTTTTCTAATTTAGACGGTGTATTTGATGTATTTCAGTTTTGCTTTTGTTCCAATTTTGTATTTGCTGTGTTCTGGTTTCAATTTCTGTCCCGGAGGTTTCCTGATGCCATATGAAAAGTTCAAGTCATCTAAGATGGTTGTCAATTGTCAAATCTCGGCATATAACACAAGCTATAAGTTTTTTAAGCATTTTTTTTTCATTAGTTCAATTCAAATATTTAGCTGAAAGCAAAGGTAAATTACACTTTCACTTAAGAAAAAGAAATTGTGCAATAAAATTTGAACAACTTCGCTTTTCGAGAAGGAAATTTTATAGATTTACCAGGGGAAAACGCTTTTCTATTTCATTCAGTTTTGTCGACTTGGGCCAATTGTAGCGACAAAGTGTCAATCATAAAAGGTTCTTGAAGTTCGAAGTGATTTAACGTGATGTTTTTTTCTTCAAAATTCGAAAATTGAATAAGAAAACTTCAGAAATTTTTTCTTCTTCCTGAAATCATCGACAGGTTTCCAACCGTCTCTTGGCTATTTATTAAGATTCAAGGTAGTGTTTCAGTTTTTAAGTCAAACCATTTACTTTTTTTGAGGAAGGAAAATTCCACTATTGAACAGCTAAAGTGTAAAGATCACGAAAAACGTGATCAACTTCTATTTTTGCAAATGGATTTAAATTATCAGATTTCGCAGCGAAATGAAAAAATTGCCTATTGGGCAGTTTGCGCAAGTTGGGTTATTTGTAGCAAAAAAGTGTCAATCATAAATTCTTCTAGAAATTCGAAGAGCTTTATGGTCATCTGTTTTTTTCTTAGAAGGTTGGTAGTTGAGATTTGAGACCAGAAAGTTACGATTTGAAACAAGTCAGTAAACTAGTCAACTTTCTGTTGGCTATGTTTAGAACTTCTTGTGGAATATAAAAAGATATTTTGATCCAGTTTTCTTCAAATTGGTTAGTTTTGTTTCAGAAACAAATGCTTGTTCCATACTACAGAGTAGCTTTTTCCACTGGCGATTTAATAACTTGTATTTTATCAGCTTCATTACAGCGCATTCATTGATAACTGGTAGTTACTGTTAGAGTGTGTTAAGTGCCTAAGTTATCAAGGTATTTTGGTGTAGTTTCGAAGGCAGTTGACTCGTATTTTTGATGCCCGTTCTAGATAGTTTTTTTTAAGTTCAGTTTCTTACCGACTTGTTTTTGCATTTTCTTGCAGTTTAAAACTCATTTTTGCTGTATTTTTATTTGGGTTTGAGAAGTGGAGTTACGTCATTGGTAAGAAAAAAGTGTCGAGTTTTAAGGACAAATTTATTTTTCTTGAATATGCTTTTTTTGGTTTTCTTGAGTTTAATACCTCTCTTCCGCCTCTCCATGCGCCGTGTTAGGTTATTGGCGAAGCTCAATTGCAAAGCAAAGCTGTATGTCTATTGCTGTTTGCTCTAGCCAAGTGGAAACGAGCAGAATGAATGAAACAAGTGGTCAGCACAAGAAGAAAAGAAGAGACTGTGCAAGCAAAGACAGGGTGGAACGCACTAATGGTAATTAAATGCGTTATTGCCTCCACGTGAGATATTTGACACCTGAAACAGAAAACTTGTTTCAAACTCAAATTTTCAACAAAGTTTTTCTGATTTAATCACTGTTTATTGTCATTGAACTGCACTATGATATGATGAGCATGACAGAAAGAAGGAAAACGTCTCTATGTTTTAGATTTGCTGTGTTCTGGTGGGCAGCATCAGCAGTCCTGTTCGTCTCTTTTTTCGGATAAATTTATTGGTAGAGTGGGCGACTGTGTTGCGTATGTTGTGGGACTCCTCTACAGTTTGCATTATGGGCATCAGAAAGACTGGCACGTGTATTCAAAGCATCAGCCCCTTCATCATTGGCCCCACTCCACTTTAGACAAGGTGTTGAAGAAGTTGCTGTTGCTGCACTCTGAGAGTGAGAATGGAAACGGGAGACTGCCTCTGCAGCTACCTCTGGAAATTGTGCGACTGAAAGTGATGGCCATCGTGTTCATTCAAGTCCACTTTTCTCGCCACTCTCTTTCAAACTCCAATTGTCCTCTTTTCTTCAGTGAACTCATGCCACTTCTTACGCAGACACTCAACTCCGCTTTCAAACAAGTGCCTTCACTTGAGTGGAAAAAGGCGGAAGAGAAGAGCGCCAATCTAGAAGGACGTGGACACCTCGACAGACTCATGTGGATGAGCGGTCTCCTTGGTAAGTTGCGAGCTGTTAAAGCCTTCCAGAATGGCTCACTGGCTGTTTAGCTGACTCTTTTCTGAAAAAAATGAGCTACGGAGACTCAAGAGTCACGATTTAAGAATCCGTCTTTAACAATCTATCATGAAAGATTTGATAGTAGAATAAATGTTTAAATGATTCAAACGCATATGAAAACAAGGATAGCCGGTTGCTGTGCAAGTAGCGCAGAAAGTTCCGACCACAAAAAGCATATTTTATAGAAATTGTATTGTTTTTGGTGCGCTCAGCTATGAGCGGACCTGAATGAAAGTCTGGAAAATAAGTACATTCAGTAATAAGAGTAGAATACGCATATTTTACTAAGTTTTTTTTTGAAAAAGTTAGTCGAAAATTTTTTTTCTGGACTCTTGTTTTCAAGTAGGCACCAAAAGATGCTTCAAATAACGATATTTCTAGAGTAAAGATAGATTTTTACGTCTTATTTGCGTATTATTAGCCTGTTCACTGCTTTATTTGCTCGAAATTAGACCAAAAATCGAAAATTTTGAATCTGTTTTTCTCTACACTGCCGGAGGCTTAAGGAATTTTTTAATAGGGTTCGAATCAAGACTACAAGTCGTAAATGTGATATATCACTCGACTCTTTCTGACAATTGTTTGTGGTACCTGATTTTGCGTGGAAAACAAAAAGTAGAAAGAACTAAAACACAGCCGAGAATCCAAAGCTCCTCCCCACTTTCAATTGTCGGAACAATTATCTTGATCTTAATGAAACTTGTATTACATATATTGCTCGATAAAAAGTGTTGTCTTTAGGGTATGCGGACTCGCATTGTCTGCAATTTACAGTGCATTATCACATCGTGAGAGAGTTTGGAATCTACGACCTCGGAGAACACAAACTACTCACCAGGAGCCACTTTCTCATGCAAGAGTCAGATGTAGATCAGACGAGACAGCTCAAGTTCAGAAACTCGGGAACTATCAAGTACGACGACGAGGACACCCGCCTCATCAAAGCGGCCGGAAACTCCAAAATGTGTGGTCTGGTGGCATGTGAGAAGTACATGGACAAAATGCCAGAAGTGAAACGTCCTTGTATCTCCATGTTCTACAGGGAACCCCACAGAACAGTGTCTTCATACAGTAAGGATCTTATCTCAGACGACAAGATATGCGCCCAAACTCTAGAATACTATTTACGACTTACAGAGATACTGCAAAGCAGTGCCAAGTTCTTTGACAGACTCTAAAACTGATGCAGATCTCATCTTCTCACCATCCCGTCCAGCCTAAATTGTTGCTTGAATTTTGATCCAGTTAGAAACTGGAGTCGTGCTCATAAACAAATAAAACTACACAATACTAAATTTTGCTAACTTTTGTTATCGGTTTTATTTTTAGTTGATATTCTCGATATTTACTCGTCTTTCATATATCTGTTTCCATTGTTTTTTATTTTTTTTTCGATGATTACTAATGTATTTCATTAATTTTGGGGTAAAAAGAAAAGGTGGCAGATATTGCTTTTTGTTGCTTTATATTTATTACGCACTGTTTGTTTGAGTAGCGCGTTTAGAACAATTCCCACCCATTCAATGGTCATGATTTTGGACAGTTACTTTTTAACGTAATCTTGCCAAGTACTTCACTTCAGAGGAAGTCAGAAGCTGAATGCTAGTTTTGCAGCAGCAAGTAGTCTGTCTTCGATCCTGAAATATTGCGTGAATCATGGTAATCAATTTGCGTCCACCACTCGATACTGAATATATAGCATAACCTGAATATAATAAGTTTTGGATTGGGATTTTGGGGCAAGGCAAGCTGATGAGCTGACGAGAAAGCCCAATCTCTTTGTCGGAAATTAAATTGCTCTTTTTAATGTAATGTTAGATTTAATTTGCTCATATTCAGTTACACAAATTTATGTAAACCGCTTTGATCTTATAATGTTGAATTCGAATTTCTAATTTATGTTTGATATACTGAAAACGTAGTAGAATTTTTCTACAGTTATTCTCTTTTTTTCAAACCAACAATTTGAGAGAGGTTATAAAGGTTTCGTCATCATATCATATGCTATATTCTGTTTTTGGTATCATCTTCATTAGAAAAAATTAGCACTAAATGCCTGAGAAAAAGTGTTTTTTTTTGTTCTGAAGAAAAGCATGTCAAAGAATATAATGTGTTAGGATTTTTTTCGGGAAATAAGATTTTTTAAATATAAATTAGTTTTAAATGGATGATTTTCATTTTTTCCAAAGAGTACCTTATAAGCACCATTGAAAAACTTTACTGCAGCAAGAGGATATATCGATTCGCCTTCATTGTACAGTTTTTGCAAAGTTTTCCGCTTATTACGTAGTTGCTCCGACTTTCGAGGAAAGTGACGGAATATTTGTGCTGAAGGTGGTTTTTTTTCTCCAGGCAAATAACGACTTATTAGCTAACCAATTTTGACGCAAATTTTTTATATCAGCCAAAAAGTATTGTTGCTTTGAGCTCAAGTTTAAAAAGATATTTCACCTGTTAAAGTTGCCAATTTTATTTATTATAAAGATTTGCCAATTATGGATAATTAAAAGGAGATATGTTTCGTGCTATTAACGCTTAAGCGGAGATTTAATACGTCTTAGAAATCGTTTGAAATTGAATTAAGACATCCTTTTTAGTCTGTTTAATGCAATGCTTTGCTATATCCGAAATATAGCACTTTGAACTTGAAATAGCGTGTGAGGGGTGGTTATCGAAAAAAACTTGGTTTTTTTTTGAAAATTTTATATATTTTTTGAAGCGAACACTACTTCATATAGCTTTAAAAGCAGTCGGAACATTTAAGGCTTCACCATCAAGAGCAGTCTTATTTTTTAATTGCTTCGTTTGTTTATTCCTAAAGCGGTTTGTTGAACTGGCACCATTTTGACCTCGTTTTTCAAATACGCTTGAAAAGTTGAGGGAAAATTGAGCTCAGCAGTCGAAAAATTCAGGGCAAACCATGGACTTTGTCTTCAAGTTTCAAACACCGATTTTTATTTGTACAGTTTTGAGTGGAATAAAACAATCTACTGACCCATTGCTTAAAAGTGATGAACGTAGTGTAGTGAATACTCTTATATAGGTCTTGATGATTTTTTGTGTTTTTTTTTCAGGAAAAAGTCTAGAAATTTGTTCACGCTCAATTTTGATTTCGCGTTGCGACTTGATTTGTCTTTAGTTTCAGCTCATCTCCTTTGTTAAAAGGAAAGCAAACTCACTATCGTACAGCAAATGTGTAAAGGTCATGAAAAACGTGATAGTCTTGTAGTTTCGAAAGAGGATTTAAATGTTCAGATTTCTCAACGGAATTAAAAACTTACCTAATCCAGTGTTCTCAAATTGGGTCATTTTATCAGAAGAAAGTCAATTCTGAGTTTTTCTTGCAATTCAAAGGGCTTTGAGGGCATGTATTTTGTACTTTGAAATTTGAAAGTTTTTTTTAACCAAGAAAGTTTCTTTTCTGATCTCATGCGTTCATTGACTCTTTTTCCAACTGTATGATTGCGATGTTCAAACTCTTAATCGAATGGTGGGAGAATAAGCTGTCCTTTGACTTTAAGTGAAATAGAAATTGGTTAAGTACCAGCACGTCACGTTCAGTCTGCAAATAGGATTTTTTTGAATACACAGCGATGTAATAATAAAATCGAGAGATCGTGGTAAAGTTTTCTGCCTTTCATTTTTGTTTTCTTACTTTGATACCTTTTTTCAACTCTATCTGTTGAATATCATATCCATATCGATCATAAATGAAACGCCTCGTTTTGTCTAAGCTCAATTTTTTTTTGTTCCGGCCATTTGAAAAACGGGGAGGAACTCTGTATTCGGGTGGTTTAGTTTTCTTTGTTTTTGTTACCCACGCAAAATCATCTAACACAGAGTTGTTGCAGCTGTTTTTCGAACGACTGTTAAAATTTTTTATAAATGTTTTCCCAGTGTCGAGAAAATCCGGTTTGAAATTTTTGGTTTTTGCGTCTTAACTCGAGCGAATAAAGCGAAGCTTGAAATAGCTTATTTTAATACGTTATTTTTTTTAGTATTTTAGCGCCGTTTTGAAATCGAAAACCTGCAAAAAAAAGTTTGAATATGTTTTGATTTTTTTTTCGTTGTTCTAGTCAATTTTCTACAAAAAGTGTTTTTCAATTTGCTTTCTATGCCTGTCGAATGTGCCTAATCTCCACTTTTTCGTTGAGTTCTTTTTATCACAATCACACCACGCCGGAAAAAAACGACATGAATTTGAAATTTTTTAAAATATTTTTCTAAGACTATGGTCGGAACATTCTGTGCTACTTGCACAGTAACGGGCTATCCTTTTTCAAATATGGTTTGTTTTATATGATGCAAAAGTAGTCTACCCAAAATTGTAGTTAGGTTTTCAGGTAGATAGAATTTTGTATATTGTCGGAAACAACTATTCGTTGTCTGAAATAATACAGATTGGATTCACACAATTTGATCTTTAATTTAGAATGATGTGATTTGTGGCCTATTTAGACAATTTTTTCGAAGAGAAAGTGATAAGTTGAGGACACTCATTTTTCTTGTTTTTTTTCGGGTTCATTTCCCTTTTGGAGGGTAAATTACACCGTCTAAGAAATATTAACTCGGGCAAAAAGTAAACTTAATTGATTTTGTGTAGCTTTCAGTTTCATCAATGTTTTAGTTCATTAACTCTTTTCTGTGTCTACATTTAGGTTAAACGTTTTTTTATTAGTTGAGTTGTTAGTATAATTTTCGCGTCTTTAAACCAATAATGCCCATATTTTTGTCCGCCCGCACTTCCAGTTGTCGAATCGTTAGCTTCGACACATTTGAAAAATCTATCATTCTCTTCTAAGTTCTCTTCTAAGAATTTAAATTGAATTAGCTTTAATATGTACTCTCATTTTCGAGGTTTAAAGCGGAGAGAAGTTTAGTTAACCTTTTGATTGTTTTCAGAACATTAAATGATGATGGAAGTGTATGCATCCACTTACGAGCGCTATCTCGTAGGATACAAATTGACTCTCAACAGAAACAGTAATTCAGAAGCGACAGAGTTGAAAAGTGAAGAGAAGTCAGAAGATAATGTGATTTGTACGAAGCTGGAGTTGCAATTCCGAATACACTCGGCAGCTAGTAGTCTGCGCTGTGTATCGACCAATGGGAGTGTTTTGGCCTGTGGCAGTTCAGATGAGGCCATCTATCTCTATGACGTCACGAGTAGACGAGAGTTGGGACCTGTGAGGTTTCACTCGGCAACTGTTAACTGCATCGACTTCTTCCAAAAGAGACTAATGGTATCGGGAGCTGAAGATGGAAGTGTTTGTGTGTGGGACTGCAGCGGACTCACTTTCTCACTACTCAAACAGTTCCGTCTGAAGAAAGCAGTGTTGTCTGTATCAGTGGAACCCACAAGTGGAAGAGTGGCACTCACTACAGACGCAGGAGGATATGTGAAAGTGTGGGACCTGTGCTCGTGTGTGCTAGCATACAGTATGCCTGTCAAATGGAAACCACACACAGTTTTATGGCCTCCTCTGCTCAAATCAAAGTCAAGTTCAGGCAATAATGAGACAGAGTCTAAAATAGACAGATTTGCAATACTCGGAGATAAAATTCTGGATGTTAAGAGTCTCAATGATGGACAGACCATAGCATCTTTCAAAATAGACAATTGCGGTTTATTGACTTGTGCCAAGTTCGTGACTGATAAGCTGCTAGTTGTCTCAACTGATGCGGGACATTTGATACTTGTCAGCTTAGAAGACAACAAGACAATCGAACTGAGAAATGCACACAACTCGCGCATTAAAGGTTTATCAGTACAACCCAACGATGAACAATTAAATAAATTTACTGTTTTCAGCGGAAGCTCAGATGGCTTCATCAAAGTGTGGACTTCAGATGTTGCCAAAGAGCCTTTAGATCTTTGTTTTGTTACTTTGGTTAATGTCAAATGCAGAATTACTTCTTTGACATCTGCGTCAATACAAGAGTAATAAAAAAACATTTTGTTTTGTCTCAATTAATTCGAGTATATTCAGAAAAATAAAACACTGTTGTAGAAAGCATCTTACGAAAGCAAAATCAGGCGACAATAAAACAGTAGTCGAAACTGTCTTAAATTTCTTAGAAATACGAAAGAATTGTATAGATCAAATCATAACAAAGCAAACGCTGGAGTTATTGGTCGAGTTCACTTTTTCAAATCGAAGTCGCACTAATTTGATTGTTTAACTTGCTTGATAGAACGAAAATTAAGCTTTCCAAGAAGAAAAAGGCAAGAGGCAAAATTAAAATCTCAATTATTGGTCCAAGTCTTTATTTCAAATTGGGTTGTTTTTTACAAAAAAAAGTTTGAATCATGAAAAATTGTTGAACTTTGAAGGGCTTGAAGATTTAAAAATAAGAGGTGAAATAATAAAAAAAAAAGACAAATCCAAAAAATAAATTTTAAAATTTTTCTCAAAATCATCAAAAGAAAATGGTCAAATAATTGTGTACTACATGATTGCTTAGAATGTTGTGATCTGGTTAGTCGAGAGATATCTGGTGTTTATTGTAACAATCACGCTAAGAAGTGATTGAAAAAGAATCATGGCGCAGGTTGTTTTTTTTTCGTACCCACCTCGAGGAAAGCTCGCAGAGTCTAGCCTGGTATTATTCGTGACTCTGAGTAGGTGGCAAGAAAAAATGGCGGAAAAAATTAAGTGAAGATTTTTTATTTACACTTGCTAGAGCAAGTGTTTTGTAATCGGGAACTAGACTTTTTCCGTACACAGTTATCTTACAAATATAAGAAATTGAACTTGCCGTTTTATTGAAATTTAACAACTTCCTGGCTCTCGAGGGAATGCTGGGCTTCGTTTTTTTTTTCAGTATAGATGAAGTTGAAAGTTTTTTACGGGAAAATTGAAATGTCGAGTTTTTGTCTGTCTGCTTGTTTCGTCCGCTTAGTTGATATATCGCGGGTTTTTCTTGAAGCAATTTTCATCGTAGTTGCAGGTGTTATTGTTTACTTCTGTAATACTAATGTTCCTGACCCTAACATATTTTATCTTTTTCAAGCTTGAAAGTTTTTTCTGCCTAAATCGTTTCGGCTAATGTTTCATCTGATTAGTCAGATTAATTTATGTCGTTTGAATGGAATTATTACTAAAAAAATTGGTTACTGTTTTGAAAATACTCCAAGGCGTTTGTGGTTTAAAAGTTTATTGATATATGCGAAAAGCTTATTTAATGATGGTTGTTGGGTTTCCCGTTTTTTTTTTTTTGAAATTGAACTTTTGTATTGTTTCCAAATAAATCTCAACTTTTTTTGCATCTATTTTTTCTATTCAGTTATTTCCGTTTCATTTGCCATTTGCTACTTTTCATTGCTATGAGTGCGTTGTAGCGCAAGTGATGCGGAGCTCCGCTTTGCCTATGTTTTGTGTGTTAAGTTGAGTCATTTTTGGAACATAATTTGTTTTTTTTTCCCCTTGTGATAGCAATTTATTTGCTATCGGGAACTAGACTATTTTGGGTAGGAAACAATTGGAAAGAAATTAGATTTGATAAATTTTAGAACCTCGACATTCTTCCTTTATTTTTTTCTACGCGCGAAACTTTGAACCACAAGGTTTGGACTTTGAGTTCCGGTCAGACCTTGTTTTTCCGACACAATGGGGAGGAACTTTGTATTCGGGTGTGTTTTAGTTTTTTTCAACGCAGAATCAGCTGGCACAAAAAGTTATTGCTGAGAGTTGAGTGATATATCATATACAAACGACATAGAATTTTCGCATTAATGAGTAAAACCGGTTTGAAATTTTTGATTTTTCGTCTCAAATCGAGCGGACAGGCTTACAATAGCTTATTGTAATGTTTTAAAAGCTTAGAATAGCTTAATTTAAAATATATTAATTAAGTGTTACTTGAGTAAAGCTAGTTTTTTGAGTTTTTAGCGCTTTTTTGGAAGCAAAGCTTGAATAATTCAAAAACTGCAAAAAATGGGTTTTTTTTCTGAGTAGTTTTGCTACAAAAATTGTTTTTCAAGTTGCTCATTTTGTTATGACTCAAATATGCTTTATCTCAAATTTTTTCTGCTTTTATCACACCACGCCGAAAAAAACGACACTAGTTTGAAAAAACTGTGTTTTCTTGAGACCATGGTCGAAACATTCTCTGCTACTGGCACAGTAATCAACTATCCTTGTTTTTTTTGAAATATGATTAAGCATGATATGAGAATTTGATTAAGCAATTGTTTGTCGGCTTACTATTTATCGGCTTAATTTCAGAAGCTAAATTAATGATTTTCATTGTAGTTTACAGTCGTTCTGTACTTAACGAACTCTTGTTTTGATTAAATTCCTGTTTGTTGGTTTTTTTTCACTTAATTAGTTTCAGTTTAACTGATATCGCCCTAGCGATCTTAATTTTTGACGTTTGAGAGCATTAATTGTTTTTATGCTTTTCAGGAGGGGTCAGATGGGAAGTTAGTGTGGCGTCTTTGAGTTTTAAAACTTCAAAGTTTGATAGTCATAATAATGGCTATTTTGTTTTGGCTCAACCGGTGTCTACCCAAGTTTTGTCACCTACGTGCCGATGCGGTAAATGGTATTCTAAGTTTTTCAACGCTGCTGATTTTGTTTCTCGCCTGTGTTTTCCGTAATTTGAACAGCCATCGAGACAAATTGATGAAAGTTAGATGTGTTTTTTCCCCTATGGGGACCATTTAAAAAATGAGGAGGAACATAGTATTTTAGTTTTTCTTTTTTTTCTCCGCTCAAACACTGATTCGAACATTTAAAAAATTCAAAAAACGCTTTAGTGTTGAGAATTTGCAGGGTTGGAAGTTGTCTACGACATTTGAACTTTAATCTTTGCCGAACCTAATTTTACCACATTTTTGACATGATTATGCCGCCAAATTAGTAAACTGAAAGACTCAAAACTCAAAAATCAAAAGAAATCATTTAAAAGCAACAACTAAACTACGATTTGAAATTGGAATCTGAATCACCCAAAAGTATTGCCATTGTCATTGGCGCCCAATAGTTTTTAAAACAAAGAAACCGAAACCAAGGTTTTTTTTTGTTGGAAAAATCAACGAACCCATCCTTATACTAACCAGTCATATAGTTTATTATTTTTTTTTTTGGATTGTAAGTTCCAAAGAAAAAAAAAACTCAAAATCATTTTTTTTTGTTACAATACAATTGCGAGGGTTCCATGTAATCAAAGGAATTACATATTGGCCATTTACATTTTTGTCTGACACGTCAAAAAGTGAATTAAGTTTAGGAGACAAAGTCAATTAAAAATGAATTCAACCTATGATGCTGTTTTTAAAGTCATAGAAACAGACGTAGAAATTTTAGCAAAAGCAATTAACCAAGCCATAAGCGATTCCGACGAAGTACAGATCATAAACGATTTCTTAACGGAATTGAAGAGCTTGCTTGACGATGCCAATAACGAAGCAGTCAAGATAATACGCACCGGAACGGACCAGCAAGACTCAATCATTGAACGATTGAAAACTTTGAAAGTTTTGTACCGAACGATCCAACTACGATCAAAACGATACGAGCGTACCCTCAACAACACTGCCACGTCTTCTTTAAACTCATCACGAGTAGCCAGCAACGTCTCGACGCCTTCAATAATACGACAAGCCTTGGAAAATCTTCCCCTTCGACGCCAAACGGAAAGTTTAACCCGTAGTACCACTACACAAAACGTCACCATGGACCAGGACACCCCGGACGATTCGCCACAATTTTCAGGATTGCCAGCAATCTTAAACGCTACTTCAAACCACAGATCAAATTCCGCCCAGGACAATTCAGGACTCCTACTTCGCCCCGGATCTAACAGCGACGCCAATACCTTGGATCATCGCATTCATCAACAACAAACAGAAACTGTTGGAACTCAAACTGCCCATGGAACTCACCTCCATCCTCAGTCAAACCTCTCATTGCAGCAGCCGAACGCCGACTTGTCACAAAGTTCAAACCTTCAGCCGAACCACCCAGAAGCTCAACTTCAAGGAACGACAAAAGAATTGAACAATGGAACTCAACTCCAAATCGACAACCAGCAATTGACAGCAACAGTGGGACGAAGACCGAACTCAGAAGCTCAACTTCATGAAACGTCACCACACTCCAACCCTGGAACTCAAATCCAAGTTTTCAATCAGCAGATGAACGCACCAGCAACCCAACAAAGAAATGTTTCAGAGCCAATATTTCTTCCTACAGCAACTTCAAAAGCAGCTCAGAGTCAAATGATTGGACAGCAAATCACACACCCAATTATTGCTCCCCAGACAGCTAGCCCCCCACATGGACTATACCAGCCTTCAAGCCTTCAACAGAACCAGCCTCCAAGTCAGCAACAGAGGACACATAATCCGAATAGCGCCTTTAGACCCATCTTGACGATTGGAAATCAGAATTCAACCAATCATCCCCCCACCAACGTGTTCAGTGGACACCAGACGACAGCTAAGGGTATCACAAACATCAATGGAGTACCGATACCAGCACTACTGCCAACAAACCAAGGAGATCAACGAACAGCAACAAATTGGACCTCCAGCCAGCCGACCCTGACTCACCAATGTACACAACCTGCCATGCGATCGTACCAGGAAGGATTTCTGGGAACCACGACAGCATACAACCCTACGAACATGCTGACATCATCAACCACAGCCTTCACTCATGCAGGCTGCAGGGGACCAACAGGAACAACTCACCAAAATATCAACCGACCTCCCCCTCATCAACATGCAGTCCATCAACATGCAGCACATCAACATGCAGCACATCAGAACCAGCCGACTTATTTCCCGATTCCTACCAACCTTGGAACAGCACCGACAGACCACAACCATCATCAAACGATCTCGAAGACATTCAGGAAATCAGTGCCCATTGTCAAACCATTCATATTCGACGGAGAACCTGAACAATGGTTAGATTGGATAGGACTGTTCAACGCAACCATCAACAGCACCGACATGACAAACTCGGAAAAGATGACACATCTGCAGAAACTTGTATCCGGAGATGCCAAATCTCTCATCCGAGGATATGGATGCAATGGAGCAATGTATGACGCAGCCCTTCAGCGACTGGAAAACGACTTTGGTAACCCGACGAAGATAGTTACATCCTTCCTTCGACGACTCGACGCCATCAGCGGCCCCAATCTACGACATACCAGAAGCTACAAGGACCTCGCCAACTTCCTACAGACAATGGTCGATACATTCACGACACTTGGATTCCAGCACGATCTACACTCTACGACAAATGTCCAAACAGTTTTGTCAAAACTGCCTACCCCTTGCCGACTAGAATGGAATAGATACAATCTGCAATGCAACATCAGACAACCATCACTCATCGACCTCACCAATTGGTTTAACATCTACGCCGAAGCATGCAGCGATTTGCCGAGCAACAGCAACAACAATAACACCAGAAACAGCAGCAGCAGCAACAACTACAACAGCAGCAACACTCAAGGATCATCATCCAACGGTCACACCCACCAACATGGACCATCGGATCACCGCGCCAATCAGAACCACCGGAACCAGCAACGCAGCCAGCAGCAACATAAATCTGGACAAAAGGATCAACGACGAGATTTTTGCCCGGAGAAACGCAATTGCCAGTACCTTGGAAAATGCCATCACTTCATCGCAATGAACCCAAAGGACAGATTACAGCATGCCAGGGACCTACAACTATGTTTCAACTGCCTCAGCCCCCACAAGTTCGCCGACTGTCAATCAACGCAAACCTGCCGGACGGACGGATGCAGTAAGAAACACCACACACTTCTGCACAACAGCAGCACCTACAACTCGACGACACAAAGGGAGACAGCCAACCGGAACTCCAGACAACATGACGACACCACCAACTGCAGCACCAGCATAAACAGAAGGAAATCGACTCGCCACATTCCGACCCTGCCAATAACGATCTCTCATGGCAAACATACAGTTCATGCCTATGCAATGCTTGATTGTGGAAGCAAACTGACATTGCTTAAATCATCAATCGCCCTCCAACTCAAACCAGATCTGCAGTTAGACGACACCATCCAGCTAAACCAAGCACTGACATCATCAGACACAGCTTCTACAAAGATGACGATTGCGATTGGACCCTACAACCAGCAAAAGCAGCCATTTCAACTAAATGACATCGACGTCATAATGGATTGGAACCTTTCCCAATTCAACCCTGAACTCGTCAACTCCATCTGCCAAAGAAACGAGCCTCTTCAACACATTCGGATAGCCACACTGCCCTCGAAAGAAATCGGAATCATCATTGGATGCGATTTCGCCGAACTCGTGACACCTTCAGAAGTAATCCATTCAAAACAAAATGTGCCTATTGGATGGAAAACGCCACTTGGATGGTCTCTCTGTGGACGGGATTCTACACCGACCAGCAGTCAAACTCTCGCGAGTATTGGACCACAGTAACAACTAGATGACCAACATGATCAACGACAGCTAACAACTAGATGACCATTACAATCAACGACGACGTACCATCAGCTTCAACGAACAATTTTCTAATTTGCAACCTGCAAATGGGCCCGGCTATGTCTACGACATTTGAACTTTAATCTTTGCCGAACCTAATTTTACCACATTTTTGACATGATTATGCCGCCAAATTAGTAAACTGAAAGACTCAAAACTCAAAAATCAAAAGAAATCATTTAAAAGCAACAACTAAACTACGATTTGAAATTGGAATCTGAATCACCCAAAAGTATTGCCATTGTCAGAAGTTGTGATTTTCCATCTTAATTCGAGCAATTTTTCGTCTTAGCTTCTTATTTTAAGGGCTCAAAAGCCTAATTTAAGCCATATAAATAAGTGTTTACTCTAGTAATTAGTAAAACCAGTAGTTAGAAAAATTAGTTTTTTTTTGAAAATTTCAGCGTTTTTGGAAAATAAAAGCTTCAATAATTCAAAAAAGTGCCAAAAAATTTATGTTTTTTCCCTTTTTTTCTAATGATTTTGCAAAAATGATTTTCCAGTTTGCTTTTTTACTATGGCCGTCGAACATGCTTAACCTCTAGTTTTTCTTACAGATCCTTTCATCTTACCACGCCGAAAAAACGACACTAATTTGAAAAATTTTATGGGTGTTTTTAAGACATGGTCGGAACATTCTGTGCTGCTTGCGCAGTAACCGGCTATCCTTGTATTTTTTCTATTTAATTGTTTCGTCGTTCATTTCTTTTTGCTAGCTTGTAATGTTATGCTTGCTTTATTTCGCTAGTGTTGTGAACCTCCGTTTCGTCTCTGTGTTGATTTAAACATAATCAGTTTTTTAATTAATTGATTTTGATTTGATAATTTGCGATGATATATCCGACCAGAAAGTTTGGCGATTCTTGCTTACTGACCTGACCTGACCTGACCGCTTAATCTTGTTTTATCCAGTTATGTAATTGTTCTTTGCTATTGTACATAGTAGATTAAGTTTTTTAGCAGCGGGTTTAAAGTGTTCCAAAAAAGACCAATTGATAAAGTAAATTTTCAAACCCTACAATCGATTCGATAGATGTAAAACATTTTTTATGGTGCATTGCATTAGCTTTATAACGAATGTCCAATGGAATTAATTTGAAGGCTGGATGAAGATTATTCATTTCTGATAACCCGATTTTCGGAAAACGTGTCTCATTTTGTTTGTGTTTCATCTAGTCGTCTAATGCAGATAGCTAGAGTAACCGATGGTTTCAGATCATATCTGCAAAATTGTTGAGCATGCGCTTAAAATTGGACCTTTAATTCAAATAGCTCCACTCAAAATATTTCAAACAAAAAGTCTTGAAAATGATATTTGAAAAAAGTATCAGGGAATATGGTGACAAGTGGGCATGGCATGGTGACAAGTTATCACGCAGCTAGCCAAAAGTTTATGAAACTTTAAAAATTCATTAATGTGCAGTTTATTATCTTTCAGATTTAACGTTGAACAAAATAGTGACAGCTGTGTCATTTTAAAGGCTGAGAGATGGTGTTCTTCTTTGTCTCCAATAGTGAGTCGTTGATTTTTTGTTCCTTCGACAGAAATAGGCGCTCAACAGGCATGAATTTAGTTTTTTGAGGGGGTTGGACTTTCAAAAAAATTATAAACGTTTTGTGGACCTATTTTAAGTCAGCTTAGTTGAGTTTCCGAGCTCTCTCTCGAAACGATATTAAAACCCTATTTTTAGCCTAGTTTTTATTATTTGGGGTTTAAAATGTTATTATCTTTCTATGATTATTATTAAAATGTTGCAACGACTAGAAGTGGTCAATTTGGTTTTCGAGTTCGTAACCTTGACTGATATGACATTTTAGTTAAAGACGAGAAAGGAGTACCTTACAAATATTACATGGGTCGGGACAAGACCGAAAGTAAGTGCAAAAAGAAGTTGTATTGTTGCCTCTAAAGCACTTAATTGTTTGTCAACGAGTGTAATGTATAGTGTGTGCTGTTCAGACGAAGACCTCATCAAGTATGGATGGCCTGAAGATTTCTGGTAAATTGATGCCTCGCCCCAGTGGACTTCTGGTCCAAATTTATTCAGTCGAAGTCTAGAATTATCTAAATTGAGACGAAAATGCTTGCACCTGATAGGTTGAAACCGTATGTTAGGCTTCTAATGAGCTGATCGGATTTGGTCAGCAGAGATTTTCAATTGTTATTGATCACAACTAGCGGAAAAATAAGTATTGAAAAAGCTCTTTTTTGATCGTTGTTCGTGATTGTATAATTAATAGCAAAAAGTTCGTACAGGCAGAATTAATCAAAAATACTTGCAAATTTTAATTTTTAGGCGACGTTGAGACATTAAGTTTGTCTGCAAAACAAGCTTTTGCATGTAAAAAATTTTTATAAATATAGTTCATTTGTTCTTTTTAATTAATTTGGTCTGTCCGAACTTTATGCAATTCCCTATAGTTAGCGTAGTAATTAGAGTGGCATTGTTTTGCATAGGTTTCACGTGGACAAACTGTCGTCGGCGCACGTGTATGTGCGACAGTCGGCAGACAAGACAGTGTACGACATCCCAGAGAGTGTGGTGAGAGAGTGCTCCCAACTAGTCAAGGAGAACAGCATCGAAGGTAAGGAGCTGCAGCAGATAGACACAGGCAAAGACAAAAATATGAAAAACATAGAGCTGAGAAAAAGATCAACATGTGCCGTAATAATAGTGCTGACTCGTGATTTTCAAAATTCAGCTACACGCTGTAGTGTTATCTTTATACCGTATGGACACCATACCATGTGTTCTGGGTGCATAGCATAATTAAGGAATGTCTGGTCCAAATCGTGATCGTGCGTTATCTAGTCTAGATGTCACGACCTCAAAGTTAAGGTAACAAAACATCGCAGATATAAGATCCATATTCAGTGGAATCCTCTTTCAGTCTCTTTGTGTACGAACTGCTATCTGTTCTTTTGCTTGTGATATGAGTGTGCTGTAGGACACAAGAAGGATTGTGTGGATGTAGTGTACACAGGGTGGAGCAATCTGAAAAAGACGGGGGACATGGTGGAGGGACAGGTGGGTTTCCACTCACCCTCCCAAGTCATCAAAGTCAAGAATGTCGAGAAGAACAGAGACCTCATCAGGTATCAAATACTCAAGCACACACAACATGTATGCGCATACCTATGTTGATTCACTCTTAGCAAAAGAGCAAAAACATCTGAGAGGGTAAACAAATGAGATCATTTCGGGTCGTTTTTATGATGATCTTGTCTTCGTTGAATCATAGCCTCAGTAGTAGTCATATGAGAGACTTAGAATGTGAGATATAAAAAAACCGAATTGTGGTGTCTGCATATGAATATGAGATGCATATATGATGTGTAGGTACATGCAGAAAGGCAAGACTGAGATCGAGATGAGTGAGTTTATCAGTCTGAGAGAGGAGAGAGACAAACTCATCAGGGACAAACAGAGACTCCTCAAACAGGCTAGTCATCCCACTAATACACTCTGTGGTTACGGTTGAGAACTTTCAGAATCGTCGGCGGATTCCAATTGAGTTGCATTTACTACACTTGCTAGAGCAAGTTTATTGCAACCGAGTGCTATGCTTGCCCCCCTCGAATAACTTTGTTCACAGGACTCATCTCTTCAGGTCTGGAATTGCCTGGACTCCCAACAGACCTGTTGACCAACAGAAATGTTTTGAGCATACTTGGATTTTAAATACCCGTTCAATTAGAAAGGTGTTTTTTTATCGTGGTTGTACAATTACGAACTCCTATTTACTATAATTTACTTTTTCATTTTTTTTCTGATTTGAATGATTATTTGGCTTAAAAAATTTGGCGTATCTTATATCGGCTTATTAGCCTCAAAATTAACTCATTGTCACCTCAATTAACGCTTTGTGAATGCTGTTTTTATGCTAGGTCAAGATCGCCAAATCTCATTTTTAATATTTTTGGTTGCAAAATGAAATTCAGTCGTGATAAATCGTAATATGAAAAATTTGGTATAGATGTTTTTTTTTTCAAAAGAGTGACTACGTCTCATTTCGGAGTCGGCTAGCTCGCCATGCTATCTCTATGATATGTTGCAAATGGTGCGAAGCTCTGCTTTGCCTTGGTGTGATAATTCTGGAGGCGAACGAGTTTTCAAAAGTCGTATATTTGAAAGTTGAAATATTCTCGTAAAAAGAAATTGAAAATAACTATTAGAATGTTCATTTATACTAGTTCGTAAACAATTTGATTATCAAGGTCTGATGGCTGTTTTTGTTCAGACAGAAGAAGAGCAGAAGAAGCGAGACATTGAGGAGCAGAAACGGCAGAAGGAACTGAAGTGAGTTGGCTTTGGTTGGGTTACATTTCGTATAAGGCTACAACTTAGTCAAATAATGAACGCTTACTTTCGATACGAGTTGTATATTGAGAGTGAAGTTTTTTTTTGCTAAATCTACTGTAACGAATTTTCCTCTAGCGTTTCTCGCAGCAGTTTTTTATCGTGGCCTATGAAGTTACTCTCCTTGATAAGAGACAAATCGACGTGCCATTTTACTGAATTAGATTAGCTTGATTAGACTTAAGATAGGGTTAAATATTTGTTGATTGTGTTACTGCAGAAGCTACGCTGCATTGAACGATAGTGAAAAGATGAAGAGTAATAAAGACGACGGATACACCAGTGATGACTTCATGTGAAGAGGAGGGGGAGATAAACTATCAGTCATTCTTTGTAAACCAACCATTCTCCACCCAGGTTGGCAGGCAAAAGAGAGGCCCACAGGATCAGGAGAGAAGTGAAAAGAAGAGACTGATTCTTGATCAAGAACTTGAAAAAAAAAAACTAAATAATGAGAGCCAAGTCTATGATATATTTTAAATGTTCCGTAATTGTAACTTTTGAAGTCCAGCTGTTTGAAGTCCAGCTGTTTGAATAGGTTTAAGCAAAAATGATAATTTAAATAGTTTTGTATGCTGAAAAACTGCTAAAATTGCAGCAAGATTTGAACTGAAAAATTGCAGTTCAAATCTCGCTGAATGCCAATTTATTTGTAAGCGACAATTTCATGAGCAAAAAACATCTGGTATATCTGGTCGTCCCCCCTAAATCTGGGCGTCCCCCCTAAATCCGCCCCTGTATGGGACGTAAAGATCCTCCGTCAACGATAAGTTTTTAGTCGATATTGAAGTTCAGGGGTTATTAACATGGTGAAGACTTATTTTCTAAGAGTCGATGAACGTAGCTCGCTTTTTTTAGAATCCATGAACGTTGTTCAGGAAAATTCCTCCGCAAATTCAGGCTCAAATTTACCTTTTGAGGTTTGAATTTTTAATTTAAGTTCCTGTTTGATTTATTAAACAGGTATTATGAAAACGTTTTTTTTTCCAGACGAGATCTGGTTTTTTTTTTTTTTTTTTATTTTTTTTTTTGAGACGCTTTTTCGAAAAATTCGCTTTCCCAAAAAACTACCCGTCAGATTCTCATAAAAGTGGTAACAATGGATTCAGTAGCGTTTCACCTACCTGCCTGCATGAAATTTAGGGCAATTTTTACCCTACCCCACCCCCTACGGTCTTAGAAAAGCTTCACAACTCGGTACTTTTTTCACTTTTTGCCCATTTTTTCGGAAATTTTCGATTTCCTCAAAAATTACCCGTCCAGATTTGGGATTAAGGGTTTAATCGATAGACCAAGTTGTAGGAAACTCCCATGCACAAGCGGCTGGTCCCTAATTTGCTTAGGGGAAGAGCTATAGACTTAGGAAAAGTCACTTTTTGATTTTTTTGCCTATTTTTTCGGAAATTATCGATTTCCTCAAAAACTGCCCATCCAGATTTGGAATTAAGGGTTTAATCGATAGACCAGGTTGTAGGAAACTCCCCGCACAAGCGGCTGGTCCTTAACTTGCCTAGGGGAAGAGCTATAGACTTAGGAAAAGTCACTTTTTTGGCCTTTTTTCAAATCTTTCCGATTTCCTCAAAAACTACCCGTCCAGATTTGGGATTAAGGGTTTAATCGATAGACCAGGTTGTAGGAACCCCCCCTACACAAACGGCTCGTCCCTAATTTGTCTAGGGGAAGAGCTATACACTTAGGAATAGTCAATTTTTCGGTTTTTAGGTCATTTTTTCAAACTTTTTCGATTTCTTCAAAAACTACCCATCCAGATTTGGGATTAAGGGTTTAATCGATAGACCAGGTTGTAGGAAACTCCCCTGCCCAAGCGGCTGGTCCTTAATTTGTCTCGGGGAAGAGCTGTACACTTAGGAAAAGTTTTTTTAAAAGTTTTTTGGCATTGGAACAAAGATTCAATATACTTATTGTGTGTATTTTTTAGACAATGGAATCCGCTATGCTTACGTTTTCTCGCTTTTGCTTGGTGCTATTGGCTTTGTGTTGAGTTTTTTTGTATGGTTCGAAGAAGTCCAACGAGAAGTTGCACGAGTTACGCTAGTTCTCTTTAATCAGGTCGGTTTGTTCCAGAACGTTTTTGTGATGTCAGTTATAGTCAACATATTATAGTCATATTTGCAATGATTGGACAAAATTTAATTAATTCGAAAATTAAAGAGTCGTTAGAAAAATGAAAAATACTTTATTTCATTAATGTTAGCTGGTATGTGAAACACACATTTCACTTAATTCTAGTGAATAATTATTCACATTGTTGAATCATTGTGCATATGATCTTATTTTAAATATATTTAGCATGTAACCATGATTGATACGGTTTGCCTTGTCGCACTGTGAAAGGCCCGTTTAATTCACATTACGGTTGCCTTGTCGCACTGTGAAAGGCTCGTTTAATTTTAGTACGGTTTGCCTTGTCGCTCTGTGAAAGGCCCGTTTAATTCATATTACGGTTGTGTTCAATAAAACAAAAAGCGCTAGCTAATTCGATTTCATCAAAAATTTGTATAACGTTTTTTCTGAAATAACCAAACAGGTCTCTCCAGCTTCCAGCTGGGCCCCTATTGTCTAGGGAAACACCTATGGACTTGAAAAGTTCCCTCATGAAAACTTTTTACCAAAGCGTTACCAATGAATGCATAAGCTTCTCTTTCACTTTTTTTTGCGTAGGAAGGGCGCTATCGACTTGAGAAACCTGAAATTTTAAAACAATTTTAAAATAATCAATATTAAAATAATCAAACAGGTCTCTCCAGCTTTCAGCTGGGCCCCTAGTTAATTTCCTTTGTTAAAAAGAAAGCAAACTTCGCTTTTGAACCGGAAAAGTGTAAAGCTCACAAAAAATATGAGCGACTTCTAGTTTTGAAAGGGAATTTTAATGCTCAGATTTCCCATTGGAATTTAAAAATTTTACCAATTGATCCAGTTTTCTCAAATTAGAATATTATTATCAAAGAAATGTTAATCGAAATTTGTTTTAAAAATTCAAAGAGGTTTAAGGTCATCTATTTTTTTCTCGAAAAATTGACATGAGATTTCAGAAAAAGCCAGTTTTTTGTTTTCTTGCGTTCATTGACTGTTTCCAACTGTCTGTTGGCTATGTTTGGCTATGTTTGATCATCAGTCATGTTTGATCATGCTCGTTTCTCTGTTCTCACACGGGAGACTTACAGCTGAAACTCTTATTTTAAAGCGGAGCTCAGTTCTGCTATCCAGGAACAATTGTACGCAATAAAATCAGGTTGCTTATAAAATCTACGGCAATTTTTTGAGCAATTTTTACTGGGTAAATTAAATTGCTTAATACAAAAGCTGTGTAGCGTCTGAAATGATTAAAAAATGGCGAATTGAATCTTGTGAAATGCAAATTTCTCTGTTCGTGCCAATCTCATAAAAATATTTCTTGAATGCTAATTTTTTCGGAGAGCGAACTTAAAGTTCAACAGTTATTAACAAGACGAAAATCCTTATTTAGCTTGCAATTGTTTCACGATCATGCTGTTTAACGCAGGTATACTGCAAAAACGTTCAATTTGAGTTTTTTGTTTTTATTCATTTAGATGTTGCTATCCAGTGAAAAATTTATTGCAAAAATACTTTGAGTTCTCAATTATCTTTAAATACGGATTTAAATTTTACTATCACTCTTGAAAATGTAAAGTTGCAAATGATAATGATGAGTTTCTTTCAGCACACGTGAGCCTTAAACTGATAGTTTTATAGGGCGAGATTTTTTCCTCCTCAAACTCAATTTTTTTCTGACCAATTTTGAATTTTTTCTTTCAAAATTGTGTTTGAAAATTTTTCAATTTTAGCTCAAATAAAGTCTTTTCAGCAAGGTTTGTCTTGCCGTCCAAGGAAAATTAGGAAGCTTAGAAAAAAATGCGTTCTCAGTTAACAAAAAATTATTGTTGGGAAATATCTGTTATTAATGTTCGTTTTGAATTTTGGTTCAAGTTTAGGTAACCTTTGTTAGAAAAATCATGCACCTTATGTGTTGTCAATCTGTTTTGAAGCTGAAATAAATTGAAATTAAAAAAAAAAAAAGTTTCGTACTTTAATTTTTTTCTTCAACAATTTTCAATGCTGTGAAATCGAATCAACCGTAAAATCTCTCTCCCCCTAAGCTACCAGCCGTAAATTCCCTCCAAGCCACGCATTAATTGCGGAGGATGCTAAGTGCTTGCATTTCAAACAAACCTAATTAAAATTGGTTTTCACAATATTCATGTCGGACTGCATTTGAATGCTTACTACCTGAAATATAGAATTTTCAATCAATTTTCGTTAAAAAACTATTATTTTTGCTTAAATCTAGCCTATAACTTATTTCAGAAGAACCCTTTTTTCCCGCCTGTAACAGAATGGACGGATATTGTACGGTTGTTTCTTAAAATTTCGGGTCATTGAAACTAAAAACCTATATCACGAGGATAACATGTCACTGTCTGACTATGTGTGAATAATCGCTAGAAATGACTTAGAAAGCGAGAATCAAATAGATTGTAAATGCAGTCTAAAACTAAGGTTGAAACCAAAACAATCTTAGATAGGTTTTTTGAAGCTAGGACTCTTTTTTGAAGTTTTTGTAGACGCCGAATCACAACTGAAAAACTTTATAATGATACCAATTTGAATACCTATAACATTTTGTTGAAGAAATTGAAATATTTGAAAAAACTTTTCGTGAAATGATCGAAATTATACAATTTGATATATTTTTTGGCCTGATGCCAGTTTTTTGCAATACTTTTAACTTCAAAAACGATGCATCGTATTTTTTACTTGATTAGGACAAGTGCCCTTATAATTATCATATCGACTAGTTAAAATGGTCATTTAAAATACTGCTTAAGTATTCAGAGTGTTGTTAAGAATCTCATTATTTTTTCACCCGGTATCTTGGTCTATTTGGGAAACTTTCCAGTCGCAAAAGGTGGCTCGGCTTTGTAAAAGAATGCGCGTGTGTTTGCAGCTAACTATAAATGAATCTCGTGAACATGTGTTTGCCACTAATCTAATTGTTCAACAACGATCGTAATGTTCAATTACATTTTTTCTCAACTAGCACTTAAACTGCTCATTTGCTGGAAATCTTGCTGCTTATTAGTGGCATTTTGATAGAACCGGTTAAATTTGTTGTTGTTCCGACTTTCGATACGATAGTAACGCATTATTTGTGCTGGGGGTGGGTTTTTTTTCTTTAGACAAATTTCGACTTTTTAACTAGCCATTTTTGACGGAATTTTTTTATATCATTCGAAATCTATTGTTTTCTTGAGCTTAAAACTGAAAAGATATTTCACCTGTGATCATTTTTCGTAAAATTATGGGGGTTTAAAGATTGCCATTTTGGCCAATTTGGGACAATTAACGCGCGATATAATTCGCGCTATTAATGCGTAAGCGGATATTTAATCCGTCTTAGAAATCGTTTCAAATTGGTTGAAAGAAGCTGATTTGAGATAATTGATTTGTTAAAAGGAGCGAAATCTATC